CGCATAGATGGGCAGCTTGGACATGTTCTCCGCTGAGGATGTGAAGAACGTGTCCAGGCTTGCTCTTATGAGAACAAGGTCAGAGAAAGAAAGGTTGCCCCGTGCTCCAGATTCAGCAGACTTACTGTACTGTCTCTTCCTAGATATATGTTGTGCATGGCACGTGAGACAGGCAAGGTGATTTAGAGCAGTGGTTCCCAACTGGTGGGCCAGGGTCCAGAAGTGGGTCATGGGCCCATTCTTAATGGCCCACAAGTGACTTGTGAATGTGTCAAGTTTGTAAAAAAAAAAAAACACTTAATTTTAGTATAGTATTTTTTTTTCCTGCTGTAGAGTGCGTGACAAACCAACAGCTACTTGACAGAGACAGCAAACTAGCTCAACGACATGGCCAAAAGCAAGTATGACGCTGCATGTATTAAACTGTGGGACCTTGAACTAATGGCTAAGGGGAAATCTGGACCCCATGGCTACACCAGTTGAGGACTACTGATTAAGAGCAAGCAAGGTAAGCATACTTGGTTGTTTTAAGTCACCAATAGAAATTTAATGTACTTACAGATTGGTACAGATCGCAGGTCCATTCTGGGAACATGTAGTGATTCTCCACAGAAAACTTTTTCGGTTAAATACAAGGTTTAGACAAGTACACCCTCTGAATCTCTGGACAAAATACACTGTGTTACACTTTGTATGTTCATCTGTGATTCTTCTCGATTGAGCCTTTACTATTGTGTGTAATCCAGTCTCCTGCGGTCTTCTTCAACTACCAAAGAGAGGAAGTGAACCAAAGAGAGGAAGTGACAAAAGTGCAGTGCATTTTGGTGTTTGGTGTTTTTGTGGTGACCAAGCTGGACTATCCTGGTGTGAATGCGCCCTTTTTGTCAAGGTCCTGCACTTTGTTTGCCAGCCATCCACCCCAACTACCTCATTCTGAAGCCTGCACGGTACATGAATGTAGAGTTTGGTGACCTGAAAGAAACATAATCCAGACAGCGATGATGTTGCCACAACAACATAATTAGCATAACAGCTCCTGCAGTTTTTCCTCATCAGAGTGCATTTGAACATATTTGATAGGTACGGCTGCCCTTTGCTGCATGTCGTAAACGTGGTCTGGCAAATGTTGAGCCAGAATCCACTTGTTTTTTTTGCAGGACAGTCTTGCGTTATTTGCACACCCACTGCATCACCAGCTGCATTTTTTTCAGCCACAGTCAAAGACAGTCTAAATGCTGCCTGAATCTAGTTTGTTCTAACAGTGACTATCAACGTGTTGCTGTCAGAGTTGGTTCAGAGTTAAAAAGTTGTCATAACAACTCTGGACAGTGTTGAGAGAATCAGGTCCGGGCATTGTCCAGAGATTCCCTTTCACACTTGTAGCACACAATAGGAGACTGTCTGTGTCAGAAGCCTTATCACTGGAAATACTCTGGTTTAGGCATGGGGTGAAGCCTGGGTAGCATGTGCAGGAGGCAGGACATGACTGGGATCACACCGAAGTCCCATGGCCATTTTGTAATTTGATCACAAACAACAGAGTTTCTTGCTGTTCCTTGAATTGGGCTGACGATTTCGACATTTGCCTTTAGTTCCCGAATCTTGTCATTTCTCTAGTTAGACAATTTCTTTGCCATCCTTGTTAAGTTATCCTTCTTCTTCACGTTTAGATGTTTGTAATCTTGCGGTTTCTCAAAAGAAGCGTCATCAACATGCCCACTTACTCTCTGTGAATTCTTTGGACAAGCGCCTGCACTGTTGACACATGGGCTCAATCAGACATTCTTATTAAGGAGCTGGCAGGGTAAAGTCAGTTTAATGTCCAATCCAACTGATTTGGACATCTGCGTTATCACATTCAGCTCCTCTGAGTAGATAGTCTAGATCAGTGATTCCCAACTGGTGGGTCTTAGTCCAAAAGCGGGTTGCAGGACGATTCTGAATGGACCACAAGTGACTTGCAAACGTGTCAAGTTTGTGAAAATCTAATATTATTTTTTTAGTACAATGAATTTCCGGTTCAGAGCTTTTGTTTTTAAGTGCAGTTTCCTGCCGTAGAGTGACTGACTAACCAACAGGTGTTTGATAGAAACAGCACACTAGCTCGATGACATGACTACACGCACGTATGACGCTGAATGTGTTAAACTGTGTGGACCTTGAACTAATGACTAAGGAGAAATCTGGACTCCATGGCTGGAACGGTTGGGAACCACTGGTCTAGATAATTTCAGGTTTGCAGTGCATGTGTGAAATGGGCTTATGAAACAACAGTACAAAAACACAAAGTTTTTATGATTCTGCACTGTCGGAGAGTTGCCGCTTTGCACCAGTTGTGCCAGACAGTGACCTCAGTTTTGTTACCTAATAGACATTGTGCTCTGTGATCGAAATTCTGAATGAAAAAAACTGCAAGAAATAGGTTTCTCTGTGTAAGTGGAGGGGCGGGAGTAGAAGTCCCTGGAAAGTTTGGGAATGCAGAGTGTGGATATTCATTTTCAAGTTTTTTTCTGTGATTCTTGGACCTTTTTAAGTTGTAAAGAAGTTTTGGACTTTCTCCTGCATCTGCAGTTTAAGATATTGCAAAACAATTTCTTTTTTTTAAATTGCCATTGATCATTTTAAGGCCAGTGTATTGTAAATAGTGCAAACCCTGATGGTGATACAATCTGCATGATTCCATTTTGTGACATTATCTAACCTCTTACCCAAATAATTGAGATTCAGAGTCACTCTGGAAGTTAAATCCTACTTAGACTGGCCTTTACTACCAACATTCAGCACAGTGTCTTTCATGCTCATCTGAATCTTTCAGTATGATCTGGTGTGACATTCTGAAATGAAAATCGCAGTTTTGTGTGTGCTTTGTCTGTCTGCTGGTGCCAGTGTCAACCGTTTTCACTTGAGGTGAGCATGGAAAAGAAATAAATGAGATTGTGTCAGTTCTGTATGTTTCCTGTTAACAGCAGTGACCTTGTTTTCTCGTGTTATCCATGCCTTGTTACATTTTCCTTCTTTGTTCTTTCTTGCTAGTGAAGACCTGGAAGTGAAATAGATGAAATGAATGTGTATCTGACAGCACCAGATTGGACAAAACAGGACGAGATCTTCCAGATGATGGATTTTACCCATCCAAGAAGCTGAAGTCCAGTCCCATTCAATAATCCCTTGCTTTGTTTTTTGACTTTTCAGCTTTGCATTGCTATCGGAGCGTTGTGCCCCCTCTACTGCTTCAGGGCCCCTAACAAGCCCCCTACTTGGAGGGCTACCAGGGAGATCGCTCCTGATTGGACAGCAGGCTGCCTCCTTGCGGCTGGCTCAACTTAAGGCCCAGCTAGCACTGACACAGATAAACAATGCTCTCACTGTTGGCAACCGAGCCACGACTTTGACAGCCAACGCCAACACACCTGCTCCGTACATACCAACAACAGCCCCCTCCCCAACTGCTGCGGCCATCAATCTTCTTAATCTTCTGAAGATTGTTAATACCATGTCCCATCCCCTGTATAACCCCTATGCCTCTGGGAACCAAAGTTCCACCCAGGGACAGTATGGACTCTCCAGTATACAGGTAGCGAGGGACCCTCAAAGGGCATCCTCTGGCCCTGGAGCTGGGCCCAGCGTCAGCTCTTCTGGAGCTTCTGCGACTCCCACCAACTCCGGGGGGACACTCCCATTGCTGCTGCCTCAGTCAATGAACTACAGGCCTGAACAGAGAAGGGCCACAATAGACAAAAACCTAGAGAGGTCTGTAGACATGCATATTAGCAGAGCGAGAGAGGAGGTGAGGCTTCTTGGCAAACCGATGCATCAGCCCATAGACCAGGGAACTCGCTTTACCAGCACTCAAATTGATGAGTTCCCCTCCTCAGGCACAGGGATGACCTCCTACCCAATGTCCTCAACCTCTTCCTCTCTAGGACATAGACAGTCGGGCTTTGAAAGTGGCCGTAGCTCTTCGGAGTGGTCATCAAACTACAAAAGGCCCACTGCTGATGACTCCTCTGAATTTTATTCATCATCTGCTTCATCCAACTATGCTGGTGGTGGTGATGGTAGGTTGAATGTCTTCGGTGAAAGAAAACATGATATGCAGTCCATTCCAGGGTTAGGTGATTTTGACTGTCCAGTGCCAGACAGACCTGCTGCGCCCGCAGAGTCAAGTCGACCCAAGTACACCTCTGAATCAGCTTCGAACATCCTTCTGCACTTTGGACTTGAAAAAGAGGACTTGCAACATCTTATCTCCTTTCCTGAAGACCAGATCACTCCTGCTAACCTGCCGTACATCTTGCGGCAAATCCGCGTTGAGAAGACCAAGAAAGCTACAGCTGCAGTTCAGTCAAAACCTGAACCCCAACCCACTGGAAGCGTGAGAGGAATTGAAAGTCACAGTTTGAGTAGTTCTGGAGGGGTATTGCTGCGCCAGGAGGAAATTTCATCGGCTATTCTCCAGCCCAGTAAAGTGATTGACTATGGACATACTGGGAAATATACTGGAGGGGTTGGGGATGAGATTGGAAGGACCAGTAGCAGCAGAGCTAACAGCGGTGGGAATGAAAGTATGTTGCTAATGAACACTTATGATGGCAGCAGACACAATCGAGAAGCACCCCAAAAACATACAACAGAGGTGAAAAGCAGTGCCTTTAGTTCTTCACGTGACCAGCCGAGTTCTGTTTCCAGTCTCAGCTCTTCATACGGTTCAATACTGAGCTCTGTGGCTCCACCAAGCAATGATCAGACCAAACGATTGCAGAGCCAACCAAACCAGACTTCCCAAACAATCCTCAGCTCTTTCTCTCTGCCAAAGAAAGACACAGACATCAGAGTTCTCAAGTCTGAAGTCCCCAAACCTGCTCCTTTAAAAGAACCAGAGGATGATCGTCAATCAACATCGAAAACCCAGCCACTCTCCACTCTGTACCATGGTGTGCATCCCTGCCGACCTGGCCTTGTGCTCATCAACAGTAATAAAGCCAGAGGCACTAAGGATCTGAGTAAAACTCAAGGACAAGGGTCGACAGTTGCTGAGCAGATGAAAAAGCAGCAGCCTCAGCAGCAGTTGCAGAAGCAGCCGATGCAGCAGCACCAGAAGCAGCAGACACCAAAGCAGCCAGTATCGCAGGCGGGACAAGCTGTGTGGCCTCCAGTTATTTCTGTTCCCCCTGCCTCTCGCACCCCAAACATCACAGATGCCATGCAACGTCCAGTGTTTGTCCCTGGTTGTCCCCGCCCCATAGTTGGCCCTCCAGCTCTGCCACAGCCAATCCCAAGCCTAATGAACATCATTCCTCAGACGCAGCCGCCTTCCAAATGGCAGCCTCCGGCAAAGATGGCTGTGACCAAGGGTCTTCCAACGGCAGCCATGATGCATGACTATGCAGCAACCACGCCAAAAATCTTTCCACATACCTGCTCTTTGTGTAACAGAGAATGTACTCGTATGAAGGTGAGTGGAAGTCTGCACTCTGTTTTCCCTCCCATAAGGAAATTTTGGGTTGTTTATTTCAGAATCTATAATGTGTTTTTTTGTTTGTTTTTTTATGGTGAAATGCTGATCTAAATTTTTATTTTTTATTTTTGGAGAAGTACTGAAGGGTTTGATTTTGGAAAAAAATCTTTTAAGGGTGATACCTTCAAGCCTACTTGAAAGGGTTATGTAAAATATTGTTTGAATTTGAAGTGATGAGTTATAACTATGAAATGTAGTGATAAGCCTGCCACCACATACACCCTGTGTACCATTTTGCAAAAAAACATCTTGGATTTCAAACTGCGGGAGGGTTTTTTAATGTTAACAGATGAACAACTGACGAAATGTTAATACTAAGTAAATATTTTGCTCCAAAATTGCTTTAAAGATGTCAGTCACATCTTACTATTTATTGTTATTCATAATTTAGGGTTACAATGTCTGTTTTGTTTTTCATTTCATTGGATTGATTCAAGACTATTGTTAGAGCATCATTGTCTAGTTTAGATGCATGAAGATCAGAGTCATTGGTATGTAATGGCCATTGCCTGATTTACAGTGACTAATGAGTGTTGCATGATTTCATGTAAAATGGTGAGATTTCACCAACTTCTGAGACAGTTGTTGAAAATGAACCAAGGACTTAGACGACTTGATGAGGAAGAAACTGCTAATCTGAAGAACTGTGCATCAAAGGGTGATTGAAGATGGCTGTTTCCCTGTTTTCTCGTTTGTTTTTTTATTTGTATTTTTTATTCAGTTTGAATTTTTGAACAGTTGTCATTGAATATAAGATTTGTATCTTTTTCTTACTGTTGGAGCTGTCAGTGACACCGTTTGCTACCTTAATTCATTTCATATATAACAGTAGTTATTTGTTTTTTTTTTTGTTGTTGTTGTGCTTGCTATTATTATGGAGCCAAACTCCCTTTTTATTGTATTTTTAAGCATTTTTGTGACCCACAGAGGAATTCCAATTACCACCACAAATATCATAAACCAAAAGTCACCAGTATCATACTTTACAAATCATCAAGATTTTTTTATTTTTTTGATCATTGGTCTTGGGGACACTGCATTTTACATTTTGGCTAAATTAAATAACGGACAAATCAGACTCCTCCTCTCTCCAGTTTCCACATCTTCCCGCCGACTCCAGATGTCCCCACTTGAGGTTTTTTGTCCTGATCCATCCTGATAGTGGCCTCTTCTGAGATGACCCTCAATAAAACTCAGGAAACTTTCTGATATCACTCAAGACCGAAGAACAAGAGACATTTCAATACCATGAACTCATGAAGAAATCTTCACTGTGGTTGTTTGTTGCTGGCACTCCTGTATTTGTTGTATTTCATGATTAAGAACTGTTGCCCTTGAATTCAAGTTTAAGGCAAGAGTTGTCAAAATTAGAAGGATTTTATGTCCCGAATAATTTTGTCCACATGATACTGTTTTCACATGTATTTCTTACTACTCTTTGACTTTTATCGAAGCCATGATTCAAACACTTTGAAATTTTTATTTAGCCTACTGTTGGCTAATGTGTCAGCTCCTCACTTGGGCTCACGGTTGTTCCCGTTATTTGGTTGACCACTGTTGGATGAAGATTCAAAAAAATTGGAATTTTTTTTAATCTTTTAAGGTTTGGCCTTTCGATATTAACATTTGTCAACACAAACTGACTCATACACAAGAGCAGAGAAATGGAGTTGGACACTTGGACTTGGCAGACTCAACAGACCAATAAAGATGAACAAACCTTTGAAGAAAAGGACAAGAGTTCTCAGGAACTGTTTCTTCAACTGTGCTGTGATGTTGAATAAAATATCTGTCGTCAGATAATCACAAAAATGACAGTTGAGATATTGAAGCTGTTGTAGGTGAAACAGTTGTAATAATAATGCGGCCTATCTAAATGCTGTGTTTGTTGTTCTGACTACTAGGATTGGATCTCCCACCAGAACACCAGCCTTCACCTTGAGAGCTGCAGAGTCCTTCGAACACAGTCAGTCTTTTTATCTTTTCCCTTCAAAGATCTTGTTAGATTTTTTTTTTTTTATCAAAATCATTTTCTTTTTTTTTTCTGAAACATTTTCAGGAAATTCCCGCCAAGGAAAGTGCCAAATTACTGTATTAGGGCTGCAACGATTAGTCAACTACCCAATAACTAATCAACTATTAAAATAGTTGGTCGGTGACTATTTTAGTAGTCGACTAATCGGTTTGAGTCATTTTTTTCATTGAAAAGTACTATTAAGTACCCCAAAATACTCTTACTGCAGCATCATACATTCAAATATTGGCAGCTTAACACATTCTCCCATGACGGTGAACTGAAACCCTTTGGCGTGAGTACGAAACAAGCCATGAGATGACATAATTTTGGGGTTTGGGAGAGACAGACAGACCGACATTTTTCAACATTTTAACACATTTTTCGATAAAATGATTAGTCGACTAATCGAAGAAATAATCGACAAAGTAGTTGACAATGAAAATAATTGTTAGTTGCAGCCCTATTGAAAGGTCTTTCTTGAATCCTAGGCGAGTGGAACCTCTGTCAGGGTTCATAATTGGTTTTCCAAGGTACCCCTTCTGGTTCTGTTGTTATAGTCTTCAGAACTTGTACAAATCCGTGATCACTTAAGATGTGACTACAGAAACATCACCCAAATACAACTGCTTCATGGCCGCCTGCCTCACTGTGGCTTTTGATTTCAGAATGTAGCCTTTTTACTGTTTTAATAAGTTTGTTTGAATTGTTCTTTTTCCACAGATATCCAGAGTGGGATGGTGAGATAGCACTCAAGCCAAGGTAAATTTAAAAGGCTTGGAAGACACTGTGCAATTTTTTTTTATCTTGTATGTTGTGTCAGATCACACTATATGCTTTAATTCAGTGGTTCCCAACTGGTGGGTCCTGGTCCAAAAGTTGGTCCCAGGTCCATTATGAATGGATGGCAAGTGACTCCTGTGTGGGTGTAAAAAACACTTAATTTTGAAGTACAGTGAATTTCTGTCACAGAGCTTTTATTTTGAAGTGCAGTTTCCTGCTGTAAAGTGAGTGACAAATGGACAACTACATGACAGAGACTGAAACTAGCTCAATGACATGGCAAAATGCAAGCATGATGCTGAATACATTGAACTGTATGGACCTTAATAGATCAGGACCCTGTGGCTGTACCAGTTGGGAACCACTGCTTTAATTGGTCTTTCTTTATGGCCACAATGAACAATTGCACATCCAGACAACTCCAATAAAGTGGGTTGCGTCCTTAATGAAATAAACACATTGTTACACTGCAATTCTATTATCAAAAGTAAGAAGTAAAACAGGTGATTATGAAACCACAGATATCTGGAAGATTCAGACTTTGGTCTGTCTGTCCTGCACCAAGTTTCAGTTTTATATAGCAACAGCTTGAAGATTGAAATACTACTTTAATAACATTTAAAAAGTGTGCTACAGTTTATAACAAATTTTTGACTGCAGCCACGTGGGAAATCTGACTGGAACATTTCTGACATGCCAGAAATCCATCTGGTTGTCCAAGAGCAAGATCATTGATCATTAAGGTGATCAGTCAGGCATCATGACCCCCCCTTAAACTGCACCCCAAAAAACAACTGATATGTCAGAAATGTGGCTTGGTTCGATGCGCCCAAGTTCATTGGTATAGTGCCTTTCAGGCTTTCGTGTTCAAACCGATTGCAACCATGCTCTGTAGTTAACCAGTACCCTGCTGATTTTGGCATGATGTCCTGGTTATCATTCATTACACTTTTCTTGTCTGTTGCTCTCTTCAGTGCTGCAGGCAAAGATGCCAAGCCATTGCCCTCAACCTCTGTAAAGACTTCCCAGCATCATCACCAGAAAGTCAGGCATGGAAGCCACTCCTGTTCCCACTCGCCCAGCCCCCGTCGCCACTGTGGGCCAGAGGGTAGAAGGGAGAGCCACAGTAGTCGATCACATTCACCACCCAGCTCCAGATACACTCGCAGGTCTGTGACACATACATTTTTACATGAGCAATTACATGGATAAACAGAGGAGATTCCCACCACCAGATTGTGAAATTAGCAAGTGTGTTCCAGCAGAACATTTGAAATACCTGCATCAACGCCGGTGTGGTAGCCTCTTAGAATTTGCCAGTTACCCCTTGAGGAATATAGATTTGCTTTGAAAAGTTAAGCATTATTTCATAGATTAACATAGGGTTTCATCTGTATTTTCACCAGGTCTCGGTCTCGTTCTCCACGGTATGACCATCCTTCCTCCTCCCGCTCTTGGTCACGTTCCAGGAGCCCTGAGAGACGATTGTCTCCAAGGCGGAGAGACGAGAAACTATCCTCATCAAGGAAGAGAGACGATAGACGACCATCTCCAAAGAGGAGCCATGAGAGACGATCATCTCCAAGGAAGAGTAATGAGCCACGATCACCATCAAGGAGGAGTGATGAGTGGCGATCACCACCATGGAGGAGTAATGAGAGACGATCGCCACCAAGGAGGAGTGATCAGAGAAGATCACCACCAAGGAAGAGTGATGAGACAAGATCTCCATTAATGAGGGGTGATGAGTGGCAGTCACCAGCAAGGAGGACTGATGACAGACGATCACCACCATGGAGGAGTAACGAGAGAGGTTCACCACCAAGAAGGACTGATGAGAGACAACCTCTACCAAAGAGGAGTGATCAGAGAAGATCACCGCCAAGACGGAGTGATCAGAGACGATCCCCTCAACAAAAGAAGTCAAGCAGTGCAGAGAGGCTGGCTAAGAAACTACTAGAAACATCAGGTTTGAAAAATTATTTGTGTCCATAGAAGCGCTATGTGCAAGTGCGTGCCGCTACTATAAACTGTTATTTCTTTTTTTTTTTTTTAAAGACTATTTTTGTGGGCTTTTTGCCTTTAATGGATAGGACAGTGTGTGAAATGGGGAGAAAGAGAGAGAGAGCTGTTTAAACTTGACCTTACATTGTCCAGTCTGCTCCAAATTTTGTATCCTGGAAAGGAGTCCTTGCCTGATTTACACACCTGCATTGAGTCATAGTCATAGCGTGACCTACTGACAAAAGGAAGTCAGTCAGTCAGTCAGATAATCAGTCTGATTATTAGGACAAAGCAGTGCTACCTAAATATGTGTATTGCGTGTAATTTTAACTGCGCTGTCCATGGGTACAGAGGCTGATGTTGACTAGTAAGCTAAGTAGAAAACATTCCCCATCAACCTGTGAAGTAACAAGCATGAAATCTGTGATCACTTGACTTTAATATGATATTTAATTCCACTTACAATAGAACCTCAGTACAAGAGTTTGCAACCACCAAAACAATGCAGCTTTGTCTGACACTCTCTTTGTCTGTGTACCTCAAGCTGTCCAGTCTCTGTCAAAAGAGTCTGACCTGGAGGCTGTGGTTAAAACCTTATTAGCTGGGCTAGCCAAGATGAAGTCATCGTCAACGTCATCCACCTCCACAAGAGGGAAGCCCTCCTCATCTTCTGCTGCCTGTTCCTCATCCTCCTCCTCTACAGCAAAGAAGAAGGAGTTGACTAAAAAGCCCTCTAAAGCAAAGTCCAGCCTGCCGAAGAGCGAGGCAAGTTCTTCCTCAAAGTTCAAGGTTGGTTTGTGTGTATGTAAATGTCCAGGGAAATTTGGCAACAAACAGCCTATCATCTGGAAAACAGTATCTTTCTCCTTCCCTTCTCATGTCTCTATCTCATTCCTTTCATTGAAATCTTATCCATACAATATCAAAGACATTAACAGAAAATTGTACTTTATTGCAACATATGTAGTAAAAACCCTTTTGACAGATGACATAAAGGCTAGATTGTACACTTTAAACGCAAAAGCATTTTCCTCTTTCTAACCATTTTTAAACATGTATGATGACGAACACTATGTTTCTCTTTCTTTGCTCAGTCTGCTAAATCTTTGCCTTCAACCATGGTGAAGCTACGTCAGTTATATAATTCAGTCTCTCATGGTGACGTGTTAGCTGCTGTGGAGCAATTCGGAAAAACCAAGTCAGTTGTACTGTATCGGAAAATACAGGAGGTATGTGGCAATAGAGCAATGTGTTTTGAATAACCAGACATATGTGCAAATGCTTTGCCTTCTCATAACAAAGACAATACAGTGCCATTAGCTTAGGGTATAATGGTACACAGAAGTCACGGTTTGGTTCATACCCTGGTTCAAAAGTCACGGTGTGGTGCTGGTTCGGCACAGCAGAAAAAACCCCAAATGCATATGGATAAACCTCTTATCATTTATATTGAAAAGACAGTAGTGCAAGAGTGCAAATGAGGTAGCATTTAAGGGGGATTTATACTTGTGCGGCAGACACTATGACGTATATAAAGGATAGATCACACACAAGACTTAAAATGCTATTTTTGTGGAGGCTTTATTGTCTTCACAATTTATTGTTTCTTATCTGTGAAATTAAAGTAAATAAAAGCTTTGTTTCCACTGAGGACAGTGGTTTCAGCTTACAAAAAAAAAACATGAGGTCTGCATTGCCGCAACATAAAGTTACATTTCTGGCATTGATTTGACGCAGATGTGTAAATCCTGCATTAACCCTCTGTCACCTTTGGTAAACTGTTTTCATTATAGACCGTTTCAAACTGGACAACATAAACATTCTAAATGGTTCCCTTTGTATTTCCTGTTTGAATGTATGTTAATGTAGAGACAAGTAAACAGGGACCAAAGTTGTTGCCCTAGCAACAGAATAGCAATGAAATGGTCCATAGAAATAAGAAATATTGTAAAACTTTTGTATTGCTTTGTACAAACACAGAAAAAAAACACTTTCTCAAAAGGCAATAGGTCATAACAGGTTATAAAAGTGACTCACATGCCAATCATCTGTGCTGACCTCAGCAAATAATGCTAACGGTGCACAGCTACCAGGCTGCATGAACCGGACTGTGACTCCTGTACCGAGACAGCTCTACCTGAATACATGAATTGTTAGTTTTCATTTTAAAATCTTTTACTTTTATTTTGCTGTTTGATATGATGCTTATATCCAGAGTATCTCTTTAACAAAACAAGATTTAAACCTCGTAACCATCAGGCCCACAAATCTAAATCCAGGTCTTGAGACATGTGTCTTTGTTGACTGAGAACATGGTGTGTCAATAGTCTTTTCCAACCACTGAAGGCACTATTATGGTTGAACATTAAGCACCAGTCCACTGCTAAGCTGTTTGTTACAGATATATCTACCAAAACAGAACTGGAAAGATACAAATAATTGTCCTGTGTTGTTTTTTAATAGTTTATTGTAAGATCTTGGCTAAAGGAATACAACTTAAGTAAATAAATGTAAATGTAGTTGTGAGCTGTCAATGTTTCTTGTGTGAATGTAGTGAGTGGATGGTCCTGATGGATGTAGTAATGCACAAATGTGCCTTTGTGTATTCACACATCCAGGCACTCGTGTATTTTGAGAAAGAGGAAAGCGCAAAGAAATTAAAGAGCTTGAAGAGCATTGATGTGAAAGGAATGCCAGTCACTGTTGTCAAGGAGCAGGTATTATTCTTTTTTTCTATTTATTCGTCACTGGGAAATATACATATTTACATTTGTCTGCTTTAGTGTGGCTACACTGTCAGTTATCAGATTCATTCATAACAAATCTCAATTTGTTTGTTCACAGGATGCTGTTTCTGAGGAACAAAAGAAGCCTTCACAGAAGTAAGATATACTTCATACAGACCCCTTTTAAACAGAGATGATCTGTTTTTGTCAATGTATTACAATAAATAATCGTTCACTGCCTAAATTTGTGTCCTCACTGAAAAAAAAAATGTTACTTTTGGGGAATTTACCTAATGACAAAAAAATTAGTGAACATTTGTGTGCACAGGGGATGGAATAGAAGTTATCCTCTGTATTTAACCTGTGAAGGAAAGTCAAATTATATAATTGCAAAGAACATATGAAAACATTAAAACTATGACCTTGATTTCCCTTCTTATTATTGTTTTCTGCTTGACCCATGAAACTTACTTTTGTTCACAGAAAACCTGCCACAACCAGTGTCTCCACACGTCAAACCACTACTACAAGGAAGGCTCTTCTCCCTACACCTAGTGCGCCTCCGCTTACAGGGCCCAAAAAGCCTTCGTCTTTACCTTCTGAAGCCAGCAAAAGTACAACAGGCAAACATGCTAATCAGAAAAGTGCAGTTAAAGGCTCAGTTAAAGGCCCAAAATCTACCACCAAAGCAAAGGTTTTGGTTTCCAAAGCGAAAAGTGTCTCAAACAAGCAGATTAACAAAATGGTAAAAACAGGAAAGTTGCCTGCAAAAGCAGATGTGAAAAAGGCCATGGTAAAGCAAAAAATTTCTTCAGGAGCCAAGTCTACAGCTACAGAAAATCAGTCTGATGTAGAAAACTCGAAGCCTAAAGAATCTGAAACCAAGGTTCAAGAAACTGTGCCAAAAGACACAGCCACGGTTCCTGAAAATACAAAAATGACACTTGTTGGACCTAAAGAATCTGAACCCAGGATTCAAGAGGCTGTGCCGAAAGACCCAGCCAAGGTTGTTAAAAATGCAAATACGACAGTTGTTGAACGTAAACGATCTGAAACCAAGCCTCAAGAAGCTGCGCCGAAAGATACTGCCAAGGTTGCTAAAAATGCAAATACGACAGTTGTTGAACCTAAACGATCTGAAACCAAGCCTCAAGAAGCTCCGCCGAAAGGTACCGCCAAGGTTGTTGGAAATGCAAATAAGACAGTTGTTGAACCTAAACGATCTGAAACCAAGCCTCAAGAAGCTGCGCCGAAAGATATCGCCAAGGTTGTTGGAAATGCAAATAAGACAGTTGTTGAACCTAAACGATCTGAAACCAAGCCTCAAGAAGCTACGCCAAAAGATACCGCCAAGGTTGTTGGAAATGCAAATACGACAGTTGTTGAACCTAAACGATCTGAAACCAAGCCTCAAGAAGCTGCGCCGAAAGATACCGCCAAGGTTGTTGGAAATGCAAATACGACAGTTGTTAAACCTAAAGAATCTGAACCCAAGCCTCAAGAAGCTGCGCCGAAAGACCCAGCCACGGTTGTTAAAAATGCAAATACGACAGTTGTTGAACCTAAACGATCTGAAACCAAGCCTCAAGAAGCTGCGCCGAAAGATACCGCCAAGGTTGTTGGAAATGCAAATACGACAGTTGTTAAACCTAAAGAATCTGAACCCAAGCCTCAAGAAGCTGCGCCGAAAGACCCAGCCACGGTTGTTAAAAATGCAAATACGACAGTTGTTGAACCTGAGCAATCTGAGACCAAAGTTCAAGAAGTTGTGCCGAAAGACACAGCCAAGGTTGTTGAAAATGCAAACATGAAGGTTGTTGAACTTAAAGAGTCTGAATCCAAGGTTCAAGAAAACATGCAAGAAGACTCAGCCAAGGTTCCCAAAAATACAAATACGACAGTTGTTAAACCTAAAGAATCTGAACCCAAGCTTCAAGAAGCTGTGCAGAAAGGCACCGCAAAGGTTGTTAGAAATGCAGATATGACAATTGTTGAACCTAAAGAATCTGAAATAAATGTTAATGAAGCTGTACTGAAAGACATTGCCAAGGTTCTTGAAGATTCAAATATGACAGTTGTTGAACCTAAGCTTCAGGCAGAACTTGGCAAAGCCAGTGACACTGAAGACACTGAACCAATGGAGATTGGGGAAAAGGGAGTTGAAGTGGCAGAGCCCATGGAAGATGGAAGTTGTACTGAGGGCCATGGAGAAAAATTGACAACTACTGAGGCTGTACCAGAAAATTTAGCAGACAAATCCAGTGAGAGTCAACCACCAGACAGTACAGTTGAGACCCAGACAACAGACACCTCTGTCAAAGCTTTACCACATGTCCAGCTAAGCACCGTGTCAGAACCAGAATCCACTACACAAGGACCAGAGACCAAGATGGAGGCTTCACATCTGGAACAGCAGGCTGTGGGAAGTCCGACTGAGGCCGCTGTGGAGGCAAAGCCGGCATGTCAAGGGGTGGAGACAAAGACAATTGAAAAAGGTTTGTTGAAGAACTTCTTGATGATTGGATAGCAAAATATATTAAAATGTGGTGTGGTATTTGTAGAAACTGTTTAAAGGATAAAGGTCTTTTTAGACTGAATGCAAAAGTTTTGTGAAAATTAATTGCACGTCAGTTAAAAAATTCTAGCCCATCCACTGAATCCAAAACATTAGTTTTTCGCCTTGAGCAGACAGTGGTAGAGGACAGCTGGTACTTGCTGCTTCATGGAGCAGGGAGGTGAGGCGAAAGCGGAGGAGGGGCAGTCAGGTCCTCTTGCAGCAGTTAACCTCCTTTGTGGAGAGTCCAGGGAGGGATAAAAAAGTGGGAGGCCAACAGTGGAAGCTGGGGTTTTGTTTGCCTCATGATGTCGTTGGTTGCATGGCACAGTGACCAATAGTGATCGAAGACTGGCTTCATAGGCAGGCAGTGCTTGTCAAAGTCAAGGATGTTTTCTTGGTAGGACAGGTCTCACGTAACCACTGTTCATACTGTGGAGAGTTTTATTAGTAAAATGTAACTATAAGATGAAAGGATGTTTTGCTGCCTCTCTGGAGTCTGAGAAAAAAACAACTGAATTCACTGGGCCGACTGCTGGTAACTTTGAAGGTGGAGTGTAAATTTGTAATGTTACTCAATTCACGAGTTGACGACGTGAATCAATCAACATACCTTAAATTTCACTGTGACAACTTTGACCATCACTTTAGTTTGTATATGACAGACACTTTTAGTAATGAGTGGATCTTCAAGCATATTATTTTCGGCTGGGTTCTGTGATCTGCATATATTCTAATCCTCTCTTGGAGAAAAAAAAGCATTGTGGATTGTCGTTCCTGTGGGCTACAGCAACACTAAACCCCTGAGCTTGCCTGAGAAGGACTAAATGCACAAACCTGTTATCTTTTAATATCCCATCATTTTGTTATGAAAATGGCGGCGTGCAGCCTCGTTGTGTGGACGATAAACGAGGTGCAGAGTTCCATCTGTATCACCGGTAATGAGGAAATACAGTGAGTGCTGGATGGAGTAGTGAGTGACAACAACCCCGCCCACATTTAAGAGTACTGTCTGTGGTGGAAACCTTAGGGTCTAGGTACCATGTCTGAAGGGTTACTGTTGGTTCCAGAGGTACCATACTGAAAGTGTTTGATGGAAATGGGGCTCTTGAGAAGGGTTTCACAAAAAGGTGTGGAAAAACAGAGGATTGTGGGGAAACTGAGTCATCCAAGTAATAGTCAACAGATATTTCTTACTTTGTTCTTTTTCATTTCATCCTCGTGTGAAAAGGCTTTTATTATTTATATTGTTTTGTTATTGTATTTAGTTACTGTCAAATCATCCCATGAAATGGCCAAAACCAACTATGTGTTCATACCTTCATGCTTTGCTAGTTAACCAGTGTGTCTCTTGGTCTCAATTATTTTTAGTTCAGGAGATGTCTCGGAAGTTGTCTCTGGACCCAACAGAAGGAGGGAGGGGAGATGATGGTGATCGTTCAAAACAGACATTCATCTGACTTAAATTTGATTTTTTTGAAGATCCTGTGACGGAAGTGAAGACAGGAGCGGATGCAACATCAGCCAAGGATGCCTCCAGACACAACGAAGATACCTGTCTGACTGTTGGGGAGATGGTAGAAAAGCGCCTGCATCAATCCCAAATACGTAAGGAATCCAAGAAATTATGTCTCAAGTGTCTGCATGTGGTCATAACTGCCTTTCTCCTTTTTTTGTTTTACATTTTTCTTTGTCTCTCTTTCACAGCGTGCCTAAAGCTGAACATCTGCTTCTCACCTAAAGTAGGTCTCCTCAAATTGGATTTATAAAGTACTGTTTTATTCACACATATTTTTCAAGTGATAAATTTGATGAGAGGAGTGTTTTGGCAGCCTGTCTTTATTCACCATAAACAACCCCACTGACACACTTTAGGTAAAATAATTAATGTAGCCTATAGTGTTGCTTAAAATATCCTGAGACTAGATTTGTTTCGCGTACTATCACCCTCCTCCTCTAAATGCTATTGATAAGTGCGCTTGTCCAGCCATCCATTTTCATTGGCTTATCCAGGGCTGGGTTGCGCGGTGTGCTTAAGTGCGCTTGTCTTAATCTGTAATCTGACCCTCATTTTGTCCTCTCTCTCTTCATTTATTTTGCTTCATTTTCCCAGTTTAATTCACTTAATAAGAAGCAGTTGCTCATAACCGACCTGCCGGTGTATCATGATGGCTGCTACACAGAGGAAGACCTCGCCAAACTGCTCATGCCATTTGGGTTTCAATATGGAGATGACAAGATCCATGTTGTTCCTCAGGCACTTATGGTAGGCACCAGATTATACATCTGCTTTGGTTTGGTTTTGTTAATCTTGTGTTTCTGCTGTTGCTTTATACTCTTTGAGCAGATCCCGAGACGAATGGTCTGTGTATTTACGTTGCACAATAACATTTTTTCTTTTTCTGTTTTCAAGACTAGCTTTGCAACATTTACATTTTGTAAGTTAATTTGTGACATCACACCTAACTCGAACTTGCAGTTGAAATAACTCTAGATTACTTATCATGAGATGTTGCATACTTATTGTTATATATACAACCCCAATTCCAAAATAGTTGCTTTGAAAAATGTAAATAAAAACAGCACAGTTAAACTTTATTGTTATTGTTCTGTTAAATATACACTCAGTCTGAATTTGATGCCTGCAACACAGGGGTTGCAGGGGTTTCCAACTGGTGGGTCATGGTCTGAAAGTGGGTTGCGGGTTCATTATGAATGGACCACAAGTGACTCGCAAGTGTGTCAAGTTTGTAAAAAAACAAACTAAACTTAGAAGTACAGTGAATTTCCAGCACAGAGCTTTTATTTTGAAGTGCCATTTCCTGCTCTTAAAGGAGTAAATAACAGATAGCCACTTAACAGAGACAGTAAACTAGCTTGGCGACATGGCCAAACACAAGTATGACATTGAGCATATTAAACTGAGTGGACCTTGAACTGGCGTTGAAGGAGAAATCTTGACCCCGCGGCTGGACCAGTCAGGAACCACTGGTAGAAAGGACATTACTACATGGGCTAGGAAACACTTTGGAAAACCACTGTTGGTAACAGTTTGTCGCCACATCTACAAATGCAAGTTCATTCTCTACCAAGCAGAGTGAGAGCCAGATATCAACAATGCTAACTTCTCTGTGTCTGGGCTCATCTGAGATGGACTGACACAAAGTGGAAAAGTGTGCTGTGGTCTGACGAGTCCATCATGGACGTCATGTCCTCTGAGCTTTAGAGGAAACAGACTGTCCAGATTGTTACCAGCTCAAAGCTCAAAGCCCCCATCTGTGATGGTATGGAGATGTGTTAGTGCCCATGGCATTATGGGTAACTTACACATTTGTGAAGGCTCCATAAATGCTGAAAGGTGCACGTGTTACAACAGCGTGGCTTTGTAGTAAAATAGTGCAGGGAAAAAATTATGGTCTGTTATTAAGCGAGAATGGGAGAGAATTTCATTTTCAAACTTCAGAAGTTAGTGTCCTCACTTCCCAAATGCTTACTGGGTGTTAAAAGACAAGATGACAGCTGTGGCTCAGACGTCGTCCACCAATCGAAAGATCAGCGGTTCAATCCTCGGCTCCTCCAGTCTGCATGTCGAAGTATCCTTGAGCAAGATACTGAACCCAAAATTGCTCCCCATAGCTGTTCCATCCAATGAGTGTGTTAAAACTGAGTAGCAGGTGGCACCTTGTATGATAGCCTCGGCCACCAGTGTATGAATGTGTGTGTGAATGGGTGAATGTGGCATGTAGTGTAAGAAGCACTTTGAGGGGTCGGATGACTAGAAAGGCGCTATACAAATGCAGGTCCATTTACCATTTGCAAATCATTGCATTCTGTTTTTATTGACATTTTACACAGCGTCTTTTTTGGAATTGGGGTTGCATATATACACTAGTGGATCCTATATGAATCTCATTAGATCGACTTTTACTACACTGGAAGATCCAAGTGCCTTGAACAAGTACATAAGAGTAGTAATACATTTTTGTCTCTGGTTTTCCTCTCAGGCTTTCGTCATGATGCCGAAAGTGGAGGATGTGCTTGAGATCATGAGAGTGTCCGTAAGGAAGGGCATTACTTTCAAAGGGTCTAAAATTGGTTTCCACGTGCTAGCTGGCGGTATCACAATGTCACCGGTAAGCACGCACACATCACTGTTTTTATTGACTGATTTTTATAGATGCCCAGTATTTTCAAGACCCCAAAACATAGACAACTTTAATTTTTCTCAGAAAAATGTATATTTGATAGAAGAAGCAGATTGATTGAAATTGATTTTCACTTGAGTTGTATGCCCGACTGCCGTAGCTAAATGTTTTTTTTGCTGTGAAAAGACACTGATCTCTGTGTTTTAACGCAATAGATGTTCTCTGGCGATGAGGACAGTAAAATAAAAAATATGCTGTGGAAACTGGACTGAACTTTTGGAGAGAAATAGTTAAAATACAGAGTGTTTGATCTGTGTGTCTATTTATTGTTGTAATGTGATTTTCACCAGATTTTAATATTTAAGATAAATGATGATTAATTTAGATTTTAGAAAACTAAAAATGATAAAAGCCCAGAAACAAAACATCTATAGTGATATGTTAACAAATGTTTAGACAATCTGAGTCTGGAGTTTATTTGTGTCAGGTATTTGTGATGTTTCTGTTTCAGCTTGGGATTTATTGGTCGCTGATGAAGTTGATGGGTTCAGTAAGTAACACATACACACACTTAATTCTTCCTTATTTATAAACTTCTTTCAATTTTGTCGGCAGCCATTTCAATTGAACTTTGAAAAAAAGCCTTTAAAAAAAGTTTTGTATCTATTTGCATGGTACGGTGACAAGCTCAACTAATGCTAATGGTTCAGTAACGTTATCGAAACGACTCTCAGCCTTTATGCATTCATCATACTGCAGACTTTGGTGTTGTACAGGTGTTTTAACAAGGTAGTCGTGTTGCTTTGAGGCGCATGTCTTTGCATGTGATTTGTTCTCTGTTAGTTTAGGGAGCGCCTTATTTGATATGCAGTGGAGTTTTCTGTGAGAGGAGCACACATCTTAAACATCAATATCACAGCCGGTCATGTTCATTTAATCGTGGGAAGCCAAAATCGTGATTAAAATGTGATCAGTTGTGCAGCCCATTCATACATTCATCTTACCTGATCACTAGCACCTGTAGTGCAGCCAGCCACCAGGCGGATACACGTTTTGACTTTTGGAGGGCTATATCGCACACCTGGTTCAGATACATTGCAAAGGCGTAACACTTACTTTTGTCTCAGTTCATCTTTTAGGGGTCATCTTATTTCCTGCGTTCATATATTTAACTTGACAAAAGCTGGAAACGGTCAGCAGTGATGTCGAACAGTGAGGGAGCACATGAAACTCTAAGATATTGTCTTTTATTTTGAGGAACTGCATTCAGTACATGGATTATATATAGATATGCTGTGTGTGCACCTCTGTCCTCTGACTTTTTGGTTTGGATGTTCACTTCCTGTTGTTGATGCAGCATGCAGCTGACGATGGAGCGAAAACAATCTGCATCAAGAACATTTCATGGAGTGAGAGCAGGGAACTCAGGGAAGCTTTGAAAAAAATCGGCTCTGTCCAGAATTACCTGCCTCTCCTCAACAAGGTATGAAAAAACACATACAAGTACTTTTGTTTTAAGTGGCTTTAATAAAAGACTTCCTGTTATCACCTGTCATTTATGTGTGTGTGTGTGTGTGTGTGTGTGTGTGTGCTTGTGTGTTCCAGGTATTTATAGAATTTGAGTCCATTGGTGATGCTGATCGGCTCGGAGTTTGGTACAGTCTCCTGAAACAAGCCCCTGGCCACAAAGTCTACAGGCTGAAAATACCAAACAGACCCTGTACAACACTACGTAAGTCTCTCTTTTATGACAAAAAAAAAAAAAAGATGTACACACAGGATAAAGGGCCCTATTTAAGCTATCTATAGCGTGGTATAAAGTGCATGGCGCAGGTGCATTTAGGGTTTGTCCAACCACTTTTTCCAGTTAAAGGGTGGATAATATGGGCGCAGAGTAAGGTGCAATGTGAATTCCATCAATCTGAGTGTCAGCTTCCATTTCTTTTTTAAGCCTGGTGTGCCTGTACCTGGCGCACTGCTATTTACATGGCGGGTTTGGCAAATGGGAGCAGCGAGTGGTTTTCTGAGAGTGATGCAGCAAGAGTAACGACGTCACTGCAGGAAATATGGTGGGACATTTAAGCAGCAAAACTAAAAACTGTAGTTATATACTTGACAGAGGAAACGGAACCAAACTTTTAGCTTCTGAAATAATCAATGAAATTACGCTGCTCCTCTTACTTAAATGTTCACAGCGTCTTTCTTAATGGGGAGTCTGACAGCAGCTCTGCAGCTCTGTTCTGATCTCTGCTATGTTCACATTTTAGAGAATATAATGAATATTTTCCTCATTATTGATGTATTATTTCTCCTACCCACAACCCATTTGCTCGTCCCTGTGTGTGTATGTAACTCATTATGAACTCATGTATGTAGGTGCAGCTTACTATCTGAATAATGTGCCCTTTAAATAGCAGGAAAATACTGCGTCATTCTGATTTAGACCAGGTTTAAGACCAGGATAATAAAGCCCCGTTTCGTGTGTGCCGAACTCCACCTCCGCCAGTGCTTCTTCAAACTTCTGTCTCTCAACTCCTCCGCTTGCGCTTGCCATGGCTCTTTGTTGTTTGTTTTTTCCACTTCTTTTCTGTGTGAGGTGAGCGCCACCTTCCCCGGCTCCAGTTACAACAGTGTGAGGGGGTGAGTGGGTGGAACCACTCCGTTACCTCTCTCTGTGGATCGCTTGTTGTCCGCTTTCGTCTTGTCTGGATGCTGGTATCTGCCTGTCTAACAGCATCACGGCAAACTGGACTTAAGCCGTCATGTACTCCTCCACAACTGACATCATTGGCAGCTGCAACTTACTCCCTGAATTGTACAAACCCATAGATGAGAAGCTTTTCAGGGAATTACTTAGAAATGAATAAAATGACACGAAAGTAATAATAATGATTAGAAACACAACTACTGTGCGCCGCTGTTTTGTCATTTTTGAAATATATTCAAATGTAACACTTAGTTTTCTTTGTTTGTTTTTTTGCAGCACCAAAACTTCCTGAGAATGCTCTACCAGACAGCAAGGATGTTGTTGCCGGGGCAACTATCCCGCTGATAGAAAATGCCGTTCCACAGGCCAGCATTGGACCATTTTGGGTCATGTTGAGAACTCATCCCTTCCTGTTCCCTACTGTGTCTCCTTGGTTCATCATCCCAGGTTAGACAGACAGTCTCTTCCTACATTATCATTATGACAAAGTATTTGGGTCTAAATTATATGTAACATTAAAGTGCCAAATTTACTGTTTTGACATATTCAGTAAATTAACTGTGCTTGTATATGTTCATTTTTAACTCCAAGGTCACCTGACAGCTGAAGGACAGGAGGACATTGAGGTAAAACTTCAACTTTATAGTTTAGAACTGGGACCTTCAGTATTTGGATCCAGTAGTTTGGGAAAAATGAGGTGTGCCAAATTTTGTAGACCACACTTTTAGTATGTCAGATACATATTTATAGGGCTGCCCTTGACCAATGGTTGTCATTTAGGGCCATTAGTCGACTAGTTGCCCACATATTTACGATATTAATTTAATCACTAAATGATATATTTTGGGCAGCGCAACACTGTGCTACATTACAGAGAAATACAAAACCGTCATTAATTATCATTATATCTACCTAAGAATCGCATAGTTCTTGTTCATATTTGTTCTTAAAATGTTTTGCTCATCTGAAAAGCCAGTGTCACCTGACATCAAAATGCACCATAAAGTTGAATAAGTGTCAACACGTGAATTAAACTTTGGGCTTTGATCGTGTTTTCCAGAAGGCCAGTGGTCGCGGTTCCATGTGCCCTACGATCATGTTGACCGGTTTGCCGGGAATCGGCCACTACAAGCATTTAGACGTGGCCAAGCTGGTCTGGCGGTATTTCCCCAAACAGAACCTTCACTCCCTGTACTACAACGTGGTGGTCTTACCGCTGCAGAGGAGGGTAAGGAGTAGACACTGCAGACTGGTACAGAACATAAATTCTGTTCGTTAAATAGAGCTGTGTTGTTTGAATTAAGGTGTTTTTTTCCCTTTCCTTTCTTTCCTGTTTTCAACTCCAGGCCTTTGTGTTTTTCTCTGATTGGACTACGTGCTGCGATTTTGTCCGAGATCACATCACAAATCCAGTTTCTGTCAAAGGCTGCAAGCTCTGTGTTCACTTCGTCTTGGAACACATGAAACCCGAATCCAGTGAGGTATGAACACTGAAAAACACTACAGGGCACCTATGGGCTCTAACACTGAGTGCGTTTACATGCACAGTTTAATTCCCTTTTCATTCAGAATGAAAGTTCATTCCTATTAAAAGTGATCTTGTAAACACCTAATTCGGAATGAAAATGGCCAATGAAAATGAAAATTCAATCCGATGTAAGGGGCTGGAATATTCAGTTTCTAATTCCGAATGAAAGAATTTCTCACACTTGTATAAACTCATTCCTCTTTAAGTTCATTACGGTCTTTCTGCGCATGCTCGTTTCCTTGCCCTTCTGGCGCAATGATGTATATAGCGCGCATAGCAACGGGCTGAGATAGAGCAGTCGGACTTGTTGCACTCACCGGTTTCCATTCGCCTTCGACCTTCTACCTCCCTTCTCCTCCTCAACAGACGAAGCATTAGCAGAACAAGGTTGTTGTCGTACTGCTGCTTCAAGAGTATAAGCAAAACAAGCCCGAAAAAGGCACTAAGAACGGCGTCGTCAAGCATCTTGTTATCCGGAGCGAGGACTACAGTGTTTTCTTCCAGTAAACGTAAACGCGTAACATCCGCCCCGCCCCCTATCCAATCAGAAACCTTCCATGCCCCAAACCTTGCGCGGACCCAAATAAAGGCGATTAAACTGATCTCCCGTGTAAACCCTCATTTGGAATGAATATTTCTCATGTAAACAACCTGGAAACACTTTAATTCCGAATGATTTTATTCAGATTTATTTCTTTCTGAATGAGAAGCCATCATGTAACCGCACCCACTGTCAGGATCAGGATCTGAAAGAAAAATCAATTTTGAGAAGTAGAAAGGAATAAAGCGGTATGGTAGCCTCGGCCAGCCATCAGTGTGTGTGAATGGGTGAATGTGACTCATACTGTAAAAAGCGCTTTGAGTGGTCGGAAGATGAGAAAGACGGTATAGAAGTGTAGGTCCATTTACCATATTTGTCATCAGTTTATTAACAGTGTATACTGCAAATATTTGCCTTTGTCTGCAGAGATTTCAGAATGAAATCAGAATGAGACAGATGTACTAGTGTTGTTGTTAGAGAAGATCTCTACAGACAAGTAAAGAAATACAAACATATGCAAACACTTTGAGCCATTTTGAGAAAAAAATGTTGGTGTGAAATACAAAATGTTTACAATGCAGATATAATTTAAAGTGTGTTTTGACGACTGACAATCTTTGACTTGTAATTTTTTTCCAGGAGATGATGTACACAACTCTGATGAAGTGGAGCAATGCTGTAAGTCATCACCAGGGTTGTTGAGACTCTCTAAATCTACGATTTGATTTTTGATTTTCAGGTCATGATTAAATTCAGTTTTCATTTTACCAAAAATTTGAGTCACTTAAAAAAAAAAAAAAAAATCAACAGATTGTAGGTTTTATGCCCTAACAACAGTCATATACACTTTAAAACTCATTTAAAAACATAGGCTGCAAGGTGTCAAGTGAGATATAAGTGCTGTATTGTTTTGTAGTGCAGGGTTTCCCACAGAAAACTTGGTAGTGCCAGGTGGCAAGTATGTTTTGACAGGGGCTGACGATAAGGGTCTTATTTGGGGTGCAACAACAGAAAAAAATTGATGGTTCTGATGTTCCTCAGTTTTGGCATCAAAATTTGGTACATTTCTGTTACGACAGAGCAAACAAACAAAAAAGAACTGCTGAAAATAATAGTTTTGGGGTTGTTGTTTTTTTTTTCATTTATTTTGAAAAATTAGAACATTCAACAGTGGTTCATTGGCCATAATTTTTACTGTCACAGCAAAAACACTCAAATACTGGCATATTGTCACTATGAAAAAATAAATAACAAAAAATAACACGATCACCAACTAAACTATCTCTTGCTCTGCAGGGAGTTCCAGAACCTGATTCTCTGGAGGAGAAGTTGCTGTGTGTGGAGATTTCTGAGGCAGCTCTGCGCGTCATCAGGACGGTCTTGAAAGCGGTGGCCTCCATCGCAACCTTTGTCGGCTTTCTGCCACTCGCCAACAGGGTACAAGAGCACAAACATTTTACATTTCAGTGTTGAGAGAACTGCCATGTCAAGTTGTCTTTTTTTTTTTAGTTTGAGCTTTTTATTGTCATCATTCAGTACAATGAAATTCCAGAATCTACAGGTCTTGAAAAGTCTGTAAAAGTATTGAATTTGAATTTAAAATTCCCTCCAAAACAGGCCTCAGAAAGTATTAAAAGTCTTACATTATAATTTAGAAAGGTCGTAAATATGTTTTCTTTCCTTCCGTAGACAGTAACATTAGTTATAACTTTTTTGTATGTGGTTGCAGGTTGTCAGTAGATTTATTTATTTCTATATCTATACACTTAAAGTGGGGCTTATTATGAATCCGTGCAGGAGATAAATAGGAATTATGTTATCAGGTTTTTCTTATGTACTTCTGTTCATCCTGTTTTTGTGAACGTGATTTCTCAAGAAAACCTGGAGGGAATTTCTTCAAATTTGGCGCCAAAAGTCCGCTTGGGCTACACGATTAATTGGCTAGATTTCGGTGCTCTTAGGACAAAGGTCAAGACCACTGTGACCTTGTCTGTCTCATTCTTGTGAATGGAATATCTCAAGCACACCTTGAGGGATTTTTTTTCAAATTTGGCACAAACATTAATTTGGACTCCATGATGATAAGATTTTTGGTGGGCAAAGGTCAAGGTCACTGTGACTTTGCATCCATCTCATTGTCATGAAGCAATATCTCCAGAAGGCACAAATGTCCCCTTGGACTCAACAATGAACTGATTAGAATTTGATGGGCAAAGGTCAAAGTCACTGTGACCTCACAAATCATGTTTTGGGCCATAACTTGAAGAGAATTCACATGCTAATGACAAAACTTCACACAAATGTCTGACAGGATAAAATGATGAAGGGTTAATGTTTCATATCCAAATGGTCAAAGGTCATCATCACTGTGACATCACAATGTTCTACAAAAACACTTTTTAAAACACTACTCAAAATAGCGTTGCTACTGCTAATTACAGTGTCATGGAGGCTCGTAGACTCACAAGCTCTGCCAGAATTTTATGTCATACTTGAGCAACTTGTTTAAGCTTGTCTGGCCTTTAAGTACAACTGTTTACAGCAACTGTTCTTGCAATGGATTATTTTGGCTTGTAGCTTGTCTCTCTTTGGTCTCATCATTTCCATCATCTCTCCCTGCTCTCTGTCTTTTTACTCTTTGTCCATGACTGTCAACTTACCTCAGATATGCATTGAGATGGCTGACTCCAGTGATGTAACCAAGGTGGTGGAGAACTACAACACCTCTTTGAAGACTGGCGGAGCTTGGTATGCATGTGTACTTTTAAAATAAAAGGGGTATGAAATAGGGTCAAATTAGTTTTGTAGAATTGTATGTCTTTTTCTCCACACAGTCTTTAGGTTGCCTGTGTATGTGTTCATGTATTTTTATATTTTAGTCCACCATCCTAGGACCAAAACTGACCAACTCCCTTTTCTCTCTGCAGGTGTAAAGTTCACCGTTTTGAATCGTGAGTATATCACTTTGTTACTGACTCCTTTCCGGTTAAAAGACAGAGAAAACATGCTTTATTTGCCAATGCATGACACTAATCAACAAATTTGATGACTGTTATGACCCATGGGTGCAATAGGTTCTTGGTTTTTGGACTCTTGGTTGGACAACAAAAAACTACCAACAAGGACTTAAGTGCACTATTTTCTGACGTTTTATTTACGAAATACATATTTATTTATTTATTTATTTATTTAGCGAAATGTTCTGCAAATGAATTGATAATGAAAATAATTAGCAGGGCTTGACTTTGACTCTCCAGCCACAGAAGTTAGTGGTTTTCCAAAGTAGCCACTCAGCATTTTCACTAGCCACAATTTTTTTGTTTGGAAATTATGTTTTATTTGATCAAAGTTGACTATGGTTTGCTGAAAGTTACGTGAAGAACAAGATTTCTAACCCTTTTAGATGTAAATGACCATTGTAAAAGCCCAAGCCAAGACTACATAAAAATGTATGTCACTTCAGTCAGCAAATACGCAGCCATGATTAGATAGATAGATAGATAGATAGATAGATAGATAGATAGACTTGGCTCTGACCTGTTGAGGCATGGACACAAGACCTCCAGGGTTATTTTGTGGTGTCTGGCGCCAGTGCATTGGTGGCGTATTCTTTAAATTCTGTGGATTGTGAGGTGGGGTATCGGCACATCCCGCTAACGCACTCCTCATTTCGTGCATATGTGTGTGGCTGCCAAATTCTACCCATATTTGGTGGGTGGGTAGCTGCCCTGATTGTTGTGGCACCTAAATGTCTTGCAGGAAGAGAAAAGAATGATTATATGAAAAAAGAAAAAGCATTTAGCACAAAGCAAGAGATGACTGAACAAATAATTCAGGGACACTTGATAAGAACTTGAACATTGTGTTTTTTGTTTTTTAAAGAATATCTTCATTATTAATTATGTGTCACATCTTATTCACATATACAAACACATTTTTTTTTTTTTTTTTTTTACATTTATCCCCCCCTTCGAGATAACCCCCCTCCCCCCACCCCCCCTTCAAAGCTGAACATTCAGCACAGCAGTCAGTCAGTCACAAGCATGGTAGAATATCATATGGCAATAGTAACGACAATAATTAATAATATAAAATGGAGAAATAGGTATACATTACAATAATTAAGAAATGATATAGAAAATAAACTAACAAATAAAAATAGTAAAACAGACAGCAACACCTCTCCTTTAACATTAAACTGTTATTCCCTGGTCTGGGAAGCACCTTCCAAAATAAGTTAGACAAACTAGGACCTACATAATCGAGAAATGGGGTCCATATATGGTAAAATAAACCAATTTTCCCTCTGGACCAGTATGTCAGATATTCCATGGGTAAAAGGTCAAATATTACCTTATGCCAATCTAAAACTGTAGGTGGCTTATTTGAAATCCATTTCAGCAATATAGTTTTACGTGCAGCATATGTTAAAACATTCCACAGTTTCTGACAATGAGATCCTTTTATTCATGTGTGGTAATCCCAACAACAAATATACTGGGTCCAGGTCCAACTCCTTATTAAAAACCAAATCTAATTTCAAAGCCACTTCTACCCAGAAATCCTGGATATGCACACAGGTCCACACACTATGTATAAAGCTACCAACTTCCTTATTACACTTCATACACAGAGCTGATTTCTTTGGGTCCATCTTATGTCTGAGTTCAGGTGATATCTGAAGGTGATGCAGTAATTTAAATTGTGATTCCTTTGCTCTATTACATATGGATATGTTGTTAGCATGCTCCCATATGTCCGCCTCCATAGCTTCGTCTATTATCACCCCAAGGTCCTGATTCCATGTTTGCATAATTGTAATGTTAGCCTTATTGGACTTATAAAAGGCATCATAGCATCGTCTTACTATAGCCTTACTAACATTGTGTTTTTTTGTATCTTCTGAAGTACTAAGGTCAACCATTTTGTGAGAACAACCCTGCTTTTATCTGTGACTGACAATCCTTTTATTTGTAATTTTAGTATGAAGAGCCTTAAACAGCGTCTACAAGATTCTAGTGAGATCACGATAAACTTTGAACCAGATGCTATCGATGTCAAAGCCAAGCCCCCAGCTGTGAAATGTGAAACCCAGCCTCCTCCTTCTGAACAGTCGGATAATGGGTCACAACCTGCTCTGCAAACCAGTGACCCTGCTGGATCCATCGTATCTGAGCCCATTACAACTGAACCAAATGTTACCCCAGCAAGTGACGTAGCAATGAAGGAGGACGGTGAAAAATCAGGAACTGAGATCATCATGGACTCAGCTGTTGGTCCTGAGGCAAATGAAGATGTAGGAAAAGCAGACGTAAAGGTGGAAGAGGAGTCACCAACAACTTCAGTCTCTACTGCTGATTCGACCTCTACCCCTGCAGTCAGCAGCGGAAACGCAGTCTCAGCTGCTTCCAATACGACCCCATCAGCCACAGCAGTCATCTCTGAAGGAAACTTTGCAGAAATTCCTAAGATTAGCACAGAAAATTTCCTGGCCCTTGTGGCAGCAGTTCGCAAACACAAACTCAGCCGGGAGAGCAGGTCCCAGAGTGAGGACAAGATGGTGAGGCCAGGATTTGCACATCATTTACATTTGGCAATAGCATATTTTCTCAGTGCCAAATTGTTGTCAGTCTTTTCATTGCTATATAAATCTTTGTTCTTTCAAAGAATCAGTGATGCAGAATGAGACCAAACGGCAAATACAACATTATTATCCTGAATAGACTTTTTGGAGATTTAACATTGGGGAAACATTGATTTCCAACAAAATTGTGACTTTGATACCCGAGGTTTTGAATTTTGCTTTAAACATTTTAAAAAAATAACTTTATTTGTGAATGTCCATGCCTTGCTCCTCTGCCCTGGCTTATGAATGTCTTGCCATTTCTTTCATGTCATGTCATTAATATTTTTTTATATATATATTTTCTTTAGAGCCACAGCAAATGCAACATAAGGCCTAAAACTGCAACGGTTGAAGACACACCACAAAGAACGGTAAACAACTGTTTTATATATTCTCATAAACCTCCCTGTCCTCCTCTGTGTCTTAGTAAAACCTTTCATATACATAGCGGATGAGCCATTTCACCCCTGATCTGATTTTTTCAAATTTTGCCTGTTACAATTCTCCCAAGTCCTTTTCACTAGTTCTTGGTATTTATCAATCTTATACAATAAACAAATGGGTCTTGTTTGATAACTGATGCATGTTTCAATGATTGATTCCTTTGTTCTCCATCCAGGCTCAGGACAATTTTACAGATGACATTGTTTCTTCAGACGCCTGTCCTTTCGATGCGCAAAATTTCAACATGGATGACTTTGTCACTGTTGATGAAGTTGGTGATGATGTGGGAGACGCAATCCCTGAACCTCATACCTCCTCCTCATCTAAGCAGTCCTCCAGATCTAGAAGAGAGAGACACAGCTCAGATGTGTGGTCCACTGGCAAACAGACCTCAACAAGGTCTTCAAGAGACTCTAAAAACTCAGCTTCTTCCTCATCCTCCTCATCCAGTTCAGCAAAAGGTTCAAGCTCTTCAAGCTCTGTGTCACCAAAAAAGCCCAAGGACTCATCTGTGTCCACTAAATCCCCTACCAAACCCTTGGCCTCTACCAGTGTCAGTAAAGCCTCCTCTTCTTCAGTATCTACTGAAACCCCTTCTTACCCTCGTCAGAAAACACAACTAAGCAAAACAAAACCTCCAGCCGAAGCATCTAATACTGCATCTTCCAGTTGTCGTACCCGCTCATCCTCAGCTGCACGTGATACGGAAAAGATAACATCAGCAGCAAGTGTCAAGTCATCAATGAAGACACATCCTGAGCTGCTTGAAGAAAAAGTGAAAGACACAGAGAGTGTAGTAACAAAGACTGACCACAAAGTGTCAGCAGAAAGCCTTGATGCAAAAACTGTTGAGTCAGAGACAAAAACAGAAACATCATCAGAGATGCATCCACCTTTACAGGGACATGGGGTAGAGTTGAGCCAAGCTCAAAGTCTGGAGATTGATTCTAATGCCATCCCAACGAAAGAACAGCAGAAAAGCAAAGAGGAAGGGAAAGACAAGGATAATAACAAACATACAGAGGTGGAGGAGGACAACGGTGAGAAATATCAAATCCTTGATTCACTTGATGATCAAACAGATCAACAGATGGATGATGTGGACCAAGAGGTCAACTCTGAAGCCCAGCCAACTGGACCTGAGGAAGGCCAGACTTTGCACAAGGAAAGCTTTCAGGACTTGGACAGTGTTGATGATGAAGGCAAAACCCACCCACAGGAATCCAGTGAAATGGAAATGGATAGTTCTTTCAATGTGCTAGATAGTGTCACCGAAGACCAAGCATCTACAGGTCAAGAGGACAGTCGCCTGGTCCAAGATGGTCGTTCCACAGTAAAACAACTGTCTGAGGAAGATCCAATTTCAGCAGATGTCAAATCTGATTTGTTAGGTAAAGATCAAGAGGCAAATAATGTAGATGATTTCCATGTGTTAGATACAGGTAGTAAACAGTCTGAAAGGAACAAGGGAGATGAAAAGGGGAGAACAGAGGAAGAGGTCAAAGGCAAAATGCTTTCAGCAGAGTCCTGCAAAGTCTCAAAAGCTGTTGAAAATACTGATAGCCAAATCCCAAATGAAGACCAGCCTCTTCAAGACTCTGACAACAAAGATACTTTTAAAGACACTGACAATGATGTAACTGAACAAGAAACCTTTGAGGTACTGGATTCAATTGATGATCAGACCGGAACAGAAGATGACAACCAAAACCTTGAAACTCCCAGTGACCAGACATCTAAAGAAGACATGAGGCCCATGGAGGAAGACGAAGACACATATCAGGTTATTGATTCTGTGGAAGATCAGCCATCGACTATAGAGATGAAGATGGAGCCTGATAACAAGGGGAAAAGAAACACAAGAAGGGAGGTGACAGCTATAAAAGATGATAGGCGATCAAAGAAAAGCAGCCCCACAACTACAGCATCCAGAAGTGAAGAGAAGGAGAAATCACCAAAGAAACAGGACAGGACATTCAAAAAATATGACACACGGACAAGAGTGGACACCTCTGCAGGAGTTTCTGAAAAAGACAAAGAAATCAATGAGGAGATGATGTACCAGATAGTAGATTCTGTTGAAGATGAACCAGTTCAAGATGCTGCCACCACAGAACGGTCTGGTAGAAGGAGGAGTGTACGAGGAAAGAAAGAGGATAAAATAGAATTGGTTCTCACAGAAGTGCCTGAAAAACCAGAGGAGGCTACATACGAGATTTTAGACTCCGTGGAGGAAGAAACTCCCAGTGATGAAACCACCGTCAAGAGAAGATCTACCAGAGGAAAAAGGGAAAGAACAGCTAAGAAAGATGCTTTAAATAAAAAAACAAAAAAAGAGGACACTCCAACAAGAAGGAGGCACACCTCTGCCAGAGAGCGAAACAGGGAAACACCAAAAAAAGAGGAGAAAATGTCTCCAAAGGAGAGCACACCATCAAAGAAGAGTGACAGTGTTGTAAGAGAGGTAAGTGAGGAGGATGTTACCTGTAAGGTATGCGACACTGTGGAGGAAGAGGTTGTTAACGATGATCGGCCCACTACAAGAACAGGACAAAGGGGAAGACCAAAGAAAGATGTTAAAATAACTAAAAGAGGTAGCACAACATTAAAGAAGAGTGACAAAGACACATCTGAAATAGTGGCTGATGAAGAAGAGGCGACATATCAGATTCTTGATTCTGTGGAGGACGAGAGTGTTGACGATCAGCACCTCACAGAACAGTCAAAAGAGAGAGATTCTGAACATAATGAACAACAAACAAACAAAAATGCATCTCTTGCAGGATCACCCAAAAATGAGGAGGAAGAGGAAGAGCCTGTGTATCAGATCATAGATTCCCTAGAAGACGATCAAGCTCAAGAAGAGCTGACTGCGACAGAGGACAAGACAAATGGTGAAACTTGGACAAAAGAGAAGGCACCAGTTGAAAAAGATGACACATCAACTTGTGGTACCATAGTTGTGGAAGCATCCGAAAAAGAGGTTGTCGAGGAGGAGACTTTGTATCAGATAATTGATAATTTAGAGGAGGCAAATGATGATCCATCTGCTGCAGAAATGTCTTCTATGGTGAATGAAGAAAATACACCCAAAATAGAGATTCAAAAAATGGACAAATTAACAACAAAACTCCACAGTGATGCCACCGTACTTGAAGAGGAGAACAAACAAAAATCACCTGAGAAAAACACAAAGAGCACTCTGGTGAACCTAGATGAAGTGAGTGAGGAGGAGGAGGATTACCCTGATGACGCAGCAGAGGAGGAACAACTGAGGAAGCGACAGGCCGCTGCAAAAAAGAAGCAGTTCAACAAAGAGCGGGAATCCAGGAGGACCAGGGAGAAAGAGGAGAGGAGGACTAGAGAGAGAGAAGACAAGGAAAGAAAGAGTTCAAGCAGCAGCAGAGGAGGAGGAGGCGGCGGGGGAGGGACGAAGAGGGAGAAGGGGAGGGGAAAGGAGGAGACGGTGGAGGTGGATGCCAAGGAGCTGGTGACTCTGGATGAGGTGGGAGCAGATGAGGTCGGAGAGGAAAGAGCATCTGAGAGCCGAGAGTGGGATGGGGAGATCACAGAGGGAGAGTTGCAGGCACTCGTCACTCTGGATGAGTTTATAGAAGAAGAGGAGGATGGGAAGCCGGAGCAAAGCACGCTGGAGACCTGTCCACCCAGTCAGGAGGATGAATCAGTGGACCTCTTAAACCCAGAGGTAAAGGTCAAGACTTAAACACAAACAAGTTTAATTTTCTTAAAAGCATAAAAAAAAGCGGTAAAGCACTGTGAAACAAACATTTAAAAAGATGCTAGAGATCTTTTGTGTTTGTTTTTTAGACTTTAGTGACTTTAGATGAAGCTGGCGATGATGAGGAAGAGAAGCCAGACGAAGAGCAAACAGAGAAAACCTCAAGATCTGCCAAACGCAAACACGATGATGACACAGGTATGTGTTATTCTGTCAGAATACTCGCACAGGCATATTTGAATTATAGCGACAGCAGAACTATTGGTTTTCATTATGTCCAAACCAGTGGACCCTTTTCACAGCAGTCTCGCAGGGAAAAAAGCAGGTGTAAACATGATCAGAAACAACAGCTTGATGCCGTCAACTGTCCCAGCAAGACATCAGCATTTTCAGACAAGAGGAACTCCATCATCATTCTGAAAAACTAGTTCTAAGTACCCTAATTTTTGTTGTCTCCGTACTTAAATGACTTGGAATGATTGTAGTTCTTCTGCGTTCACAAGGAATGCGAAGCAGTTTTTTGCCTTGGGTTTGTTGCACGAATACAGCCACTGGAGAATTTTCTTGAAGTATTTCACAGTAGCGAATATTCACCCTTAAAAGCTATGCTTTCAGTTGTGCTGACTAACTTTGGAAGGCAGCAAACAGTGTAGTGTAGTGGGTGTAGTAAAGTACAACCAACAGCTGTCAGTTGACGTGAACATGATTAACATGGAGGCTCCGTGCTTTTCTAGAGGGGCTTAATACTCGTCTCTGTCTTCAATTTTAGAGGAAAGTATGAACTTTGTGACGGTAGACGAAGTGGGAGAGGTGGAAGAAGAGGAGGAAAAGGAAATGGTAAAAGCAAGAACTAGAGGACGAGCCAAGAAGAGAACCAGACAGACCCCTGGTAACACAAACACACATTTATATCTTTTATACAGTCATGTTGTTACCCGAAATCTAATCTCTGCAGACTCAAAAATGAAAAATTTTACATAAACTTAGTTATTTAAGAATATAATTTTCAAGTTTTCCTTTCATTTGTTTGCACAACCAATTCATTGTCTTTTACCACAGTGAGAAAATCTACCAGAGGGAAAACGGTGGCTGCAAAAGACGAGAGAGAAGAAGAAAATGAACCAGCTGGCACTGATGTACTGCCTCCCACTTCACTCGATGGCACCTCGTCACTGGACAAAGATCCGTCTACGTTTTCAAGTGACGGCCAGACTGAGATCCAGAAGACAGAGGCAAAGGTGGAATCGGCAAGCCAAGCAGACATCACTGCTCCTTCTGCTGAGCAGGAGCCTCCGCCGGAGCACCCTGAGAACCAGACGCTGGAGATATGTGTGGAGCAAGGAGAGGAGGAGAAAGAAGGATGGAGCAGGGCGGGCATAAAAGGTACAGAGAGCTGAAAGAATGATGGACAAAAGCCATTTCCACACCAACAGTGAAATTCTATTCTTCAGTTTGAGGATATCGTTCCCACTGAGCTGGTATTTTGGACCAATGAATGTTCATCTTTCTGAAAATTCTCTCAAAAGTGGAGGAAATACTTGAATTTCCTTGTTTGTCAGAAACACTTCACTGGCCTACCCTTTACCTACCCTTTATACTTACCTGCAATGCTTGAATAAGAAAAAGATTATTTGTCCAAAAATCAGTCTTAAATTTGGTTAAAACATGATCTTGAAAAGGTCTTCAAAAGCATTAGGTCTAAGTGTTTGATATGTGTAGCCACCCTAAAAATCCCATTCGTAAAATATTCAACTTTCTTTATGGCTCAGTAAAAATGTTCTCAAATGCTTACATTACATCAGTGTGTATATTGGACAGAAAGTTCACACCTTGAGTTGGTGACATCACACCACATCATAGAGGGTCGCTCTAAAATCTCCTGAGAAAATTCTTTTTAACTTGGTCCCATTACCACAATTTTCATACATTTTTCATACATTATTTTAGGTCAAATTGCCTTCATTCATTCATTCATTCATTCATTCATTCATACAATCTAGCTGCTGAAGCAGATGGATTAACACATTTGACCATGTGAGCCTGAAAGTGACAGGAACAACGAGCAACTGCTACAAAGAATTCAGTGTTAACTGAGACCAGAAATCTCTGGAGGAGAAGAAGACAGTGCCAGCTGTGTAACCTGCTGCCATGCTCACATTTTGACACTACACACACAAATTTCAGTGTTCATCAGGTTGGCCTGTCCCTTACTGAATAAAAGAAATGTAAACGCACACACACACACACACACACACACACACACACACAGGGCTTGGATGTCTTCAGGCTTTTTTATCAAGTTTCATACATTATAGGTATGATTCAACTTTTCAGCTACATTCACACTTTTTAAACCCATTCTCGTTTTCATACTACTTCTTATTGTTACACATCTAAGCCAGCAGTGTAATGCAGCATCAGCTTTTCAACACACCTTAAAATATTTCACAATTTTTATACAGTATTGATATTATTCAACTTTAAAACCAGCAATTTAGTTTGACATTAGCTTTAAAAACAAAAATATATCAGTAAAAATAAAAAAAACTTTTAGCCAGCAACTCAAGTTTTGTTAGAATTAAAAAACAAAAGAAAAAATAACAAAAAAAAACTTAAAGTATTTCACTATTTCTACTACTTCATCTCTTTCTGACACATTTACACCAGCAATTCAGCGTCAGTTTCAAAAATCAGCGTTCACACCACAACTTTTTCAGAATTTCCCTTTTCTAGCTTAAAAGTCAGTCTACCTCTGTGTTCTGTACGGTTGTTAAAGTGCACCCACCCCATACCCCTTTATGAAAAGGAGGTATTAACCAAACTGTGCCTTAAAACTCTAGGTCTGAACCAGACTGTGGGTGAACGTTACAATCTTAGGAACAAGTGAATTTTTGGCATTTCTGATAGAAATATGAGCCGAAACAATGAAGCAAAATTGTTGCAGATGAATAATTTCTGTTGATTGACCAAGCAGTCAATCATTTTGGTTCTATGTACATTGCAGCGCGCATATAGAAAACATCTTTTCCCAGATATTAATGTGTGATTGTCGGGGCTTAAATGATTCATAGATTGTCCCCTCTGTTGTTAAGCTGTGAGTAAACGGAGGAAGGAGCCTGTTGGACCTGAAGCAAAGCGATCTCGTTCTCAGTCTCCATGTGTCGCTGCCGACGTCAAACTGCCTGTGTTTAAACCCAACAATCCCCTCGGTGAGACACACACACACACACACACACACACACACACACTCCCACTTTATTTGACAACGATAGATGTTTTGTCACACACACACCCCCGTGTCACTGTCTCATCCTTCAGGTCAGGAGTTTGTCATCCCCAAATCAGGGTACTTCTGTAATCTCTGCTCTGTTTTCTACCTGAACGAGAGCACAGCCAAGGACCTCCACTGCAGCAGCCAGAGACACTTTGACAACTTGCAGGTACACACAAACAAACACACAAAAGGAGCCACACTAAAACACACACTTGGTCTTACTCTGTGTTTGTTTTGTTTGTTGTTTTTCAGAAACATTACCAGAAGCTGAAACAGAAAACATCAAGAAGTTGCGCGCAAAGTTCTCAAGGCTCCGTTTCTGATTGATAGCGACTTCAGCTACTGGCGGAACTGTACTGGGTGTACAATATGCCATGTGGATCATAATTTTATTTTTATTTTTTTCATATAAATGTGTAAATTATCTACCACAGTAAATATTTTAGCATGTATCGCCTCAGTGGGTTTTAAACTCCCTCCAGCTCTACAGTTTTGGTGCCTTGCTCTGCGGACAGTTGCACAGTTGTAGAAAAACCAGGAATCATGAGCTGAGTCAAACATAAAGTCAGTGACGGTTACATTTTCGAAGGTTTGGAACTTTAAACGGTGCTACATGACCTCTTTTACTCATCGATGCATAATTACTACAGTTTTTTTTTTTTTTTTTTGCGAACACGGCATTTACATTTGTCTGATTTTCTGGAAATGGGTTTAAAACCTGTCAACATTTTGACATTTTGGATGCAACTTGTAGCACCTTTTGAAGGAACTGTTACTCTGTGAGCCTGTTAACCTGTTTTTAAAGTTGAATAAATGAAGCTTAGAATTTCATCCTGAGTACGATGTATAAAACTCAGATAAACAACCACTTCAGCTTCGGTAACCATACAGCTGAAAATCCTTGTCACGGTTAGATCGTAAGTCGTCGAAATCTAGTGCTTGGGCAGTGACTTCTGGCGTCAGAAACCGACGAAAAAAGCCGTCCTTTAACGTCAGCATGATGTGCCACAGGTTGCCATTATAGTTTAAGAAAGAGCCTGTATGTATAAGTTAAATTTCCTGTGAAACAGAAGTGTATCTCGAAAGAAGACAATGCATGTAACAGACAGAACTTCACACGGCGTCCCAGAACGTCAACAACCAACGCACCCAGGGCACCTTGGACGACCAAATGATGAATGTGTTGGTTTGACAAACGTGAGAAAGATGAATGATAAGAATTATTATTTTGTCTCTCAGAGACAATGTAAAGACAGTTTTGTTGTTTGTAGTTTTGGAAAATGTGTGAATTATTTAATGGTCACGGTCAATACAAATCACAGAGCTGAGCTTCGGGGATGTTTCAGATTTGTCTGTCCTTCTGAAAATGTATCTGAAACAGCACCTGCTCCCAGTTTTGGCAATTTTCTGGTGTAAAATGACATTTTTACTCTGTAATAAACTGTATATCTAGTAAACCCTGACAAATGTGTTTATTACGTAAAATATTTGTGGTGTTGTGAGAACGTTACATCATCCTGACATGTAAGTACACACGAAGTCAGTTAACGTAAAACTTAATTACATCACTGACATCAACAGGCCTATATTTGGGACAGGTCTTTAATTCCTTTCACACAAAACTGTTGCTGAGCAAAGATGGGAAATACAATCTGTTTATTTAAATGAGTATGAATATTACTCGCATAAAAATTAGGCTTCAAATACCACTGAATCATTCGTGTGATGTAGCGCTGACAGAGATGTGAGATGAAATAAAGTCAAAGCAACATTGCGTCATTTCTTTTTAATTGTCTTGTTTTAATTTCTGATGTTAATGCACCAAAATAATAATAATCCTAATAACAGAGACTGTTGAGGAGTCCCAAAGCTCGACTCTAAGCACAGTCTCAAGTCTCTGTGTTACTCTCAATAAATGAGTCAAAGGGGGGGGGGGTGCCAACAGAGAGGAACAACGAAAGTGAAAGTATAAAGTCAGTGGTGTGTTCAGACTCCATTTTAAACTGCGCAGAACAGTGAGAGGAAGACAGGTCGTCTGAGACACGGTGAGTGTTGATGTTTATTCATTGTTTAGTGTGTTCTAGGGGAGAGTAGGGTCGGTTGGGTCAGTGCCACATCTTCAGCTTCATCATCACACTTGCTTTTACCACCACCATCATCTGACGCTGTTTTTACAACCAGGCTTTTCCTGTTAAACACGCAGCTACGGATCTGCGCGCTCCGGTGCTTCGGGCGCGCGCTTGTGTCAACTCTTTGAATGTGCGTCACAGTGAAAAGCTCTAGTTTATAGACACACAGAGAGAAAAGGGGGACTCTGCCGAGGGGTTGTGGCGCAGTTTTGTTGCAGAGTAAGATGTTGAGTGTACAGTCAGCTCTCCCTGCTCTTTGTTAGAGTGAGTTTTGGTTTCCGCCCTCAGATCAGATCAGTGCACGGACACTCCCTAAACTTTAGGCTCGTTGGAGATAAACTGCGCCTCGCCTGGAGAGTTTCCAGCAGCCTTCAGTCTGTACAGGAAGTCACAGGAACACTCACATCCTGTCAGATATGATGGTGATTTATTCAAATATAATCAGACTCATATATCAGTTTGTTCTCAGTCTCCAGTTGTTTTAATTCTGATAGATTGATTTATTAAAATGCTTTACAGGTGATCTGTAGTTTATGTTCATGGTTCAACCTCCATTTATATGAATTCTCCTGTAAATCAGCATCATATCAGTTTGACCTGTCCCCTCAACTACACAGGCTGAATAAACTGTGTCTGACTACATAGGTGTTTCTAGCCCATTTTTGGGGGTGCTGAATCCCATTTTTTTTTTATTATTACTGTACCCACCGTTCCCCGACTCGGGCTCTGAGCGCTCTATCTGCACAGAGCAATGCGCTGCCTTCCAGAGTGGGTGATATGCAGTAGTGGTGTAAGTACCTGGCTTAAACCAGGATATGACATTTCTTAACTTCTACCACTCAATACCAACACATTATTATCATTATTTATTGTCCTCATTTTTGCTGCATTTAATCATAGGTCACTGTTTATGTTCAACATATTGTACCACAGTAGCCAGAACTATAATATTACTTTCAATAATGTTGTTGTAAGCTACTGTCATTACCTGCATATATATATATATATATATACATATATATATATATATATCATTGTGTCATGTGGATTACTGTTAATTTATTATGCTGATCTGTACGACATCTATTGCACATCTGTCCGTCCTGGAAGAGGGATCCCTCCTCAGTTGCTCTTCCTGAGGTTTCTACTGTTTATTTCCCCCGTTAAAGGGTTTTTTTGGGGAGTTTTTCCTGATCAGCTGCGAGGGTCATAAGGACAGAGGGATATCGTATGCTGTAAAGCCCTGTGAGGCAAATTGTGATTTGTGATATTGGGTTTTATAAATAAAATTGATTGATTGATGTCAGGTAGGAGTTAGCTGACGTTTTTTCTAGCTAGGAAACGTTACAGGTGGTCAGTACCACTGTCCTCTGTATGAATTGGAATGAGAGAAGCTAGCTGTTGTGTCATGTGCATGTGTTAATATTAAAGCCAAGGTGCTACTGACTAGCTAACTGACTGGATGCCCATTAACATTATAACTCCTATTGTGTGTGTACAGACAGACAGCCTCATCATGGATATAAGATTGTTTTTTTTTTGGGGGGGGGGGAAGAGCCAGGTTCAGGTAAGAGTGTAAGATCAAATGGTCTGTCTATGTAGAATGATGTTGTAAGTTGGATCAATGTATCAGTTTATATCTCTTATTAGATATAAAACGCATTGTTTAGTTATTTGCCTTTTGGCTGACAGTACAAAGAGAGAGAGAGGAACAGAGAGAGGACTTTATTTATTAGTATTCTTATCAGTATTTTTGGTGCTCACTATAGGGGGCAGGTTTACTCCAGAAACATATGTAACGCAGGAGTGTTAAAAAGTTAAAATGATTAAAAAGGTGTATGTGAAATTTAAAATCAGGCGAGAGAGAGCAGTTGTTTAAAACCAAGAAACCACAGATGCATTAACAGATATACACTGATATTTATTCCCAGAATAAAATCAGGTTAAAACCACAGGTGAAAAGTCCATAAAAATGATAAGACCTGGGAGCTAATAAAAAGGGGTGCTGAAAGGCTAAAATGAGGGAAGCTAAAACTAAGGGGCGATAAAAGTCCAATAAAACAGTTCGGGGGCTTATCTGTAGGGGGAAGGCCACCACACACTTCCAGTACGCCGGCGGGGATGGCTCGGTCACCGAAGAAAAGAGAGCCGCACGTCCTTTATTCGGTCCCTGGTCTCCTGGCTCCGCCGCTCTGCACCGTCGTCCTCTTCTGGCACGGTCTCGAGCTATCGGAGGCAAGATGGCAGTCACTGCACTTTTACACAACCAGCTATCGTGAGTCGCACTTTATCATTTCAGACCGCTACTCAAACTTCTTCATGGAACCTGCCGTCAATCAGCCACCTAGCTCCTCCGTCCACTGGGTGCTCTGGCGTGGGTCCTGCGGTCGGTGTTCTTCCCAGTCAGACTCACCGCTTCCTGCCACTTCCTGCTCCTTCGCCTGCTCCGTGTGTCTCGTCTGTGTTGCAGCTTTCTCCGCTCGCCTTCTTAAAATCTTGGCAGTCTCTCAGGTGCGATGATTGGGTTTAGGGGTGTCACAACTAGGACAAGGTTTTCAGAATAAAAGCACACACTCCCAGTGTACAAGACATGCAATAAAAACACACAATTAAAAATACACCCTAAAAAGCAAACATATTACAAGTTAAAAACACTGGGAGTTTAAAATACACACAATAAAACGATGACCTTACACATGTGACACATATATACTGTTTATGTGTATGTTGAGGAGCTGCTGTATCAAAATGAGTTGTCTTCCCCCAGAAATTAGGGTTACGATATGTTTCTTTTATGATTCCAATCCATTCCTCTTTTGCTGTGGCTCAACATTTAAATAACCTTTATCAGATTTGATGGTTTAGTCACAGACTTTCCCAAAAAGTGTTGTGCTTTTCTTTCACAAATGTGGGAATGAAATTGCGTTAAAATGTACAAAACAGTGAAATTTATCTTGCCTGGCCGGGCAGCTCTCTGGGTGCTCAGCACTCCTAAACCTCTGATCCTAGAATCGCCCCTGTCTGACTATGAGTATTTTTGTTGACCTCAAAAAAGCTTTTGATACCATAGATCATATTATTCTTCTTAACAAACATATGTTATCAGAGGGGTAGCACATCAATGGGTTTCTAGCTACTTAGAAAACAGAAAGCAGTTTGTGCAGATAAATAATGTAAAATCTGAATCATATCATATAAAGTGTGGAGTACCTCAGGGGTCGTTCCTTGGACCAAAACTGTTTATTTTGTATATTAATGATTTTGTTAATGTATCCAAACTGTTCAAATGTATTCTGTTTGCGGATCATACTACTTAATTTTATTATGGGGAAGATATAACACAGGTGCTGAATGTGGTTAAAAAAGAATTTGAAAGAATAAAAACATGGTTTGATGTAAATAAATTATCGCTAAATCTTGAAAAAACAAACTTTATGATATTTAGTAACAGAGGGAAAGGCACCGATGCTTCAATTAATATCGATGGTATTGAAATTAATAGAGTAAGGGAAATGAAGTTTTTGGGTTGGAAATCACATTTAAATTATACAAAGGTGAAAATATCAAAAACAATTGCTGTGTTACACAAAGTAAAGGATTTATTAGATAATAAAGCATTGTACATTTTATACAACACCATGATTGTTCCGTATCTGACCTACTGTGTTGAAGTTTGGGGAAATGCTTGTAAAACATATACTCATTCAATTTTCATTTTACAAAAAAGAGCAAGAAGAATAATCAATAGAAAACGATATAGAGATCCAACAAATCCATTATTCCTTCAGTTAAAATTGTTGAAATTTCATGAATTTGTAGATTACAGTATTCTGCAAATTATGTTTAAAGCCCATAAAAAAACTTTACCAATCAATATTCAAAAAAGATTTGAAAAAAGAGAAAGCAAGTATAATTTAAAAGGAACAGAGATCTTTAAAAAACCAAGATTCAGAACTAAACTGATGGAACGTTGCATTTCTGTGAAAGGAATCAGTTTATGGAACAATCTGAACAAAGAAACCAAAGAATCCAAGTCAAACATTACATTTTAAAGAATAATTAAAGCCAGTATGTTAAGGAAATATATTGAAATATGTTAGTTATGTTTGATTGTCATACCCATTGTCATGAAAGGTATAGGGAACTAAAAAGAACGTGACTGTTTGTGTCTTGGCCGGCAGCTATTTTATTTTATTTTTGTTAATTTTGTTGTTGTTTTAATTTAAGTGCTTTGTAAATTGATTTTTTGGGATAAAGAGGCAGATTAAATAAGATTATTCTTCTTTCTGCTCCCTTTCATTCAGATTTGGGAATGTTGTGTTTATATTGTATTGTTTTTGTTTTTTTTCTTTTTTTCAATAAATGAAATAAAAAAATATATTTCATACAAGACAACAGCTTTCATTAAAGATCAGTCAGGTATAGTCAGGGCTTCACATCTGTACACATGTTAGTTTAAGAATCACCACATCCCACTGACCACACATCTCTGTGTTGTTAAATACTTGACATTTAACTAAACTGTGCCTTTCACGTTTGGGTTGGGCTCTAAAAAACCTGATTGTTAGCAGACGCCTGTATCTGTTCAGAGATCAAATTATTTTCATCACTATTATTTTTATTTTGTGGTTATTTAGTGTCAGTACAGAAGTGTCCCAACTGACCCCGCTCTCCCCTACTGTATGTCATAGAAATACCCAGCCAATATGTAATCATGTCCTATAAATAAGAAGTTACTGACTTCATCACACTGTGTATGTGTGTTACAGTTCTGTCAGATTTGGGAAGATGGCTGATTTGGAGGCAGACGAGGACAGATCAGAGTCTCCAGTGTCCAGCTGTCAGCTGTCTTTGAAGAGTGACTGGTCCATGGGTGATCCTCCATTCTTCAGTAATGAACCTGGACCCTCAGACACAAAGTAAGAGACTGCACACACACAGTCTGGCACTGCACACTGCACCAAACCGCCGATCCATCTCACGTTAAGTAACTCTCTCATATAGGTTGGAGGACTTGTTGTAATGTTTCCTCTGGTCTTTACAAGGACTAATTATATGTGTCAAACATTTGTTGTTTCCACAGACAGAGAGCAGAGTCTCCAGTGTCCAGCTGTCTGTCTGTGAAGAGTGACCGGTCCAGAGATTTTCCTCCAGTCTTCAGTAATGAACCTGGACCCTCAGACACAAAGTAAGAGACTGCACACACACAGTCTGGCACTGCACGTGTAAGAAAAATGCTCAACTTCAGCAAACACTGAAATGAAGAGACTCGGAGAACCATGGAGAAAAGTTACAGCCAACGGGGTTACTTTAATCGCAGATCGATAGCATACAACAGTATACTAGTCTACACAGCGAATCAGTTGGAAACAGCTCTGAACAATCATCCTTCGAATGCTTTTTATACTCAGCGTTTGCTCGTTCGTGTGTGTGTGTGTGTGTGTGTGTGTTTTCTGGGAATCTTAAGTTCTCCTGGTTTCCTACTTATCCCTGGAACTGAGGTTCGTGCGTCAATACATCCTTATTTTTCTTCATTTTTTCTGGTAAAAACAACCGTTTCTATTGCGAAACTCGGTACATCCGTCCCAACGGTCAGGTCACCCTAACCCAGAATGTTCTCCCTCATTTATCCTCCCAAGGCTTGACTTACGCACGAACCACTCAATTTATCTAAATACCTCTTATGGGTCCTTTTGCTGCCAAATCTGATACTTGATCAGCTGCTTTCTAAACCTTGTGTAACTGACCTTATTTTCACCTTCAGTATAAAATGATACATTATCCGCCTCTACACACGCTGCACCAAACTGCCGATCCATCTCACCCTCAGTAACTCTCTCGTATGGGCTGGAGGACTTGTTGTAATGTTTCCTCTGGTCTTTACAAGGACTAATTATATGTGTCAAACATTTGTTGTTTCCACAGACAGAGAGCAGAGTCTCCAGTATCCAGCTGTCTGTCTGTGAAGAGTGACCGGTCCAGAGATTTTCCTCCAGTCTTCAGTAATGAACCTGGACCCTCAGACACAAAGTAAGAGCCTGTTGAAAAACATGAGGGAGCTTTTTGCCTTTTGAAAGTCGTCTCACAGTGGAGCACAACATTACTCAGGAGGTTTTCATGAAGCTGCACCATGAGATATTTGAACTGCCTGTGACTGAGTGTGTGAATAAAGCAAATAATTTTCAGCACAGTTTGCAGGACGAGATCTAAATAATGTGTTCATCTCCACAGAGGGAAGAAGAGGAGTCATGTTTCTGTGGAGGAGCAGCCGTCCTGCTGTAGTTTGTGTCAGGACGTCCTGAAGGATCCAGTCTCTACCAGCTGTGGACACTGGTTCTGCAGACAGTGCATCAGCTCATACTGGGANGAGTTTTCAAAGTGTCTGTGTGTTCACAAGTTTTGTATCTTTTAACTGAATCTCTGTGGTTTGAAGTTTAGTTTCTCTCCTGCGTTGCTGTTTGTACTTTCAGATATCTGCCTTATTTTACCGTTTCATGTTCGCTGTCAGACGGATAAGATTCGTATGAAGTCACTGCAGATGAAAAGCCAATATTTTCTGCTTTGGCTGCTTCACAATAAAAGCTAAACAAAGCTAAAATAACAAAACAACATGGGACTTTAATTGTGAAGACACATATTTTGTGTGACATTTATGACTGTATGCTCAGTGATCTCTCGTGGTCGATAGGAAACTGTGGTCTCATTTTGAAATGGAGCATCTACAGATTAATTCCAAACAGAATATCTGATGATCCACTGAAGTTGGTCACAATACGAGATGATTTAGTCCTGTGTTGTTGTTGTTGTTTATTTTTTATCTTAGCCGCCATCTATGGAAGTAGATTCGTGTCTTTATTATTCAATAAAAAAAAAGTTGCTTCAATCAAAAAATATATTTTCAATCAAAAAAAAATTTTTAAACAAAGAAAAATAGTGTTTGAATGCAAAAATTCTTTTGAGGCCCAGAAAAGTGTGAGGAACAAAACTGGCAGTCCACCCCTACGATTCAAGAGTTGATAACATACAATAATGATTCACTACAATAATACAACTATGTGTGGCTGGTTGGGAGAGGAGGAAGGTGAGGTATGCAGCTCGCTCGCCGGCACGCACCATCTTGGCCCTTTAAAAGCTGAACGCCCTCGGCTGCAGCCAATCACAAACAAGGACCAAATCAATCCGCCAATCACTGTGGCACACACCTATTTACATACACAAAAACAAACCAGGCAGAGAGAACACATGCAGGAAAACACAAACTTACAGAAATTCCGACAACAGTCACAACACATATCTGAAGTTAGCTAGCCAGATGCAAACAGTTGCATTTTCTGGTTTATTTTTTCCTCGCGCTACGCCTCTCCTGAAGTTCTCTGTCTCCCCTCAGAGAAGGCTTGTCTCACACTTTGAAACACAGAGCTTTTTTTCTCAAGCCCTGCTCACTTTCTGTGATATTAGTGAAAAGCGGGACCTGTTTTACCTGCTTTCAGACGGAGGTTTGTTGCGGTGACAGTGGGGGAATCACTGAAAAGCTCATCTGCTCAGGTGTGCCAGTGCTGTACCTTGCAAATGGCAACTTGCTTGTTCCAGAAAGAGATTCCTATTTCAAACGTCATTGGTGTAGACACTTGTCACTCAAACATGTCTGATCAATGGGGAAGCATCCACCCGAGATATTTGTGTCAAAATAATTCAATCAAAAAAAAAGGACTCCAATTTTTTTTTCACTTCAATCGAAAAAAAAAAAAAAAATTAATGAAAAAAATATTTTCAATCAAAGAAAAAGCGTGTTCAAAAGACTTTTTTGGGTCTCAGTTTTATTTTTGCATTCAAACACTTTTTTTCTTTTATTGAAAATATATTCTTTGATTGAAGTGAATGTTTTTTTAGGTTAAAAATATTTCTTTTGATTGAAGTGATATTTTTTGGGATTGAATAATAAAGACACAAATGTCCTACCCATTATATGGCCCAAACACAAAAAAAGATGACTTCAATCAAAAAAAATATTTTCAATTAAAAATAACAACTCATTTCAATCAAAAAAAAGCTTTTCAAGCAAAGAAAAAGGTGTTCAAATGCAATTTTTTGGGCCTCAAATATTTTTTTGCATTCAAACACTATTTTTCTTTGTTTAAAAAGGTTTTTTTTTAATTGAAGTGAAGTTTTTTTTGATTGAATATATACTTTGGTCTACACCTTCTTGATTTGGATAACATCAGACTGCTGAAGCTTCCTATTAGTTTCATCTGAACTTATGAAGACATTTCTTACAGTGTAGCTGAGTTAAGAAGAGACCACTTCACACTCATATTTATTGCCACCAATACCTCTTTTAATGTGCACGTGGCTGTTGAACAAACTTGAACAAATGTGTCCCTCTCCTTTTTATTCCATATACAAATACAGTATGAAGGTCATGTAAGAAATGAATGAATGAACAGTGTTTTAGTCCAACATGTCTGATTTGATATTAATCCTCTAAATACAGACTTGACTGAGATCAGCAGCATGTTGTTAATCTGTGTTGATATGAATAGGTGAATGAATGTTGTGGTGACATTTGGATGATGTCTGTAGAAGGCTGACATCATGATGATCCACAATAACACAATGACAAAGTCACTCTACTCAGTTTAGGGCAAAGCTCATTGATCAGGACATAGTAATGTTGAGCTACACATTTAACACCTGAACACATCTGATTGTATTATTAATGATTTTTATCTACATCATTTATTCTTTATTCAGACTGAGTTGGTGTGGTTTGTCAGAGATCAGCTGTGTTTCACTGGCCTCAGCCCTGAAGTCCAACCCCTCCTATCTGAGAGAGCTGGACCTGAGTAACAACAAGCTGCAGGATTCAGGAGTGAAGCAGCTGTGTGATTTTCTGGAGAGTCCACACTGTAAACTGGAGACTCTGAGGTCAGACACCATTTTTTACTCCTGTGCTGAGATTATTATGATGTGAAAGTTGTGTTGACACTAAACTGCAGACATCAGGCTGATATTATACTGATCCACAATGAAGTCTATTTGTCTTGTTCAGTGGTTGAATCCATTGACTGTGGCAGAGCAATGTGGAGCTAAACCTTAAAGATAAACTCTGCAGGAACTTCCTTCAAAACAGTGTATAGACTCATACAGAAATAATCCCTTTCAATCAATCAATCAACCAATCAACCAATCAATCAATCAATCAGCATACGACATCCCTCTGTCCTTTGGACCCTCACAGCAGATAAGGAAAAACTCCCCAAAAATGGTAGAAACCTCAGGAAGAGCAACTGAGGAGGGATCCCTCTTCCAGGACAGACAGACGTGCAATAGATGTCATACAGAACAGATCAACATGATAAATGAACAGTAATCCGTATGACACAATGAGACATAAAGAGAGACAGAGACAGAGAGAGATGCAGGACAGGCAGTAATGATAATAGCTTACAACAACCTTCATTTAAGTAATAATATTACAATAATAATTACAGCTATTGTGATACAATATGTTGTAGGTATATATTAATATATGATAGTATATGTATGTGAAAATAATCATATGTGTATAATAACAGTAGAAGTATGACTAATGATAACAGCAGCAGGAGGCATCAGGCAGGACCACGGCAGCAGCACAACCACACACATCACACCATCCAGGCACCGCTGTGATACGAGGTAACCTGCAAGATAGTGGAGCACAAAGGCTCCGGAGGAGAACCTGAGTTAGTGACATGCAGTAGAGCTGAGTTCGTGACATGCGTAACAGGACATGAGTGTTAGCAAAGGTGAGAGACAGAGAGAGAGAGAGACAGAGACAGAGAGAGAGAGAGAGAGAGAGGGGGAAGGTGCTCGGTGATCATCAGGCCCACAAAGTTGAGTCAGCCATTGGACGACCACCCCGTCAAACCAGTACTCCTGCTCTGCACCAGGACATCAGGGTTAAACGTTAGGGGAGACTCAACAGAAATGACAGATGGAATATCTAAGTGTTTTCTCACATCCTTCCACACCAATAATGTGTTGTTAATGATTATGTTGTGATCAAGGGAATTTATTTGGTCTATATTATTGATAAAAGGTAGGGATTTAAGTCTTCTGGGATAACATGCTAGAGACTCAAGACTAAGCCATAAAGCTTCTTGCCTATACGTAAACCAGTCTGACATCATTTTGAGCTGAGCCGACCAATAGTATAATTGTAAGTCAGGGAGAGATAAACCTCCTAATTCCTTCGGTTTAGTAAGTTTGGCGAACTTAACCCTTTGGTGTTTGTCGTTCCAAACATAATGAGAAATATCAGAATTCAGTGACTTAAAAAACGCAGGCGTCAGATAACATGGAAGATTTTGGAATAAGTAGTTTAATCAGGGAAGGATGTTCATTTTAATGACATTGATCTGTCAGAGGAACGATGTCAGGAAGGAGGTCCATGTCTTCAAATCCATCTTAATTTTTTGAGTTAATGGAGAATAATTTGTCTCAAATAAGTTATTCAAATCAAGAGTGATGAAAACACCCAGATATCTGAGACCCTCATCCGTTATTTGACATTGTTGTCATCCGTTAGTTGACAACAAGTACGCTTGTTACTATAAATAAGTGCAATAAAACCTTAAGCAGTAAAAAGCAAGTGCTTTATCAATACACGTGTTCAGCATGTAGAAAGACATATTTCAATCTGCTCTGTCCCTCATTCACCGCCGCTATGGTTTACAATCATGGTTTACACAAGCACATCACACTAGTGGGACCAATAGCAAATAGTTAAACCAAACTAAAATGAAAGCTGTGTGTATGTAGTCTGTTTAACTTAGTTTGTCACTTATCTTAAAATGTACCTGAGACAGCCTACCTGTGGACTGAAAATGTCTGGCCCATCAACATTTTCTGGTTTAAAATCTGGCCCAGTTGAATTTGTAATTGAATAGCCCTGCTTTAAACATTTGATTTCAACTTAAATTTACCCTAATGATTCTTTAAATAAGTGATTTGTGTTTGGCTGCACAACATGAGTTAGTGATGAAGGAGCCACTGGTGGAGCTGGCAGAGGTTAAGAGGTGAAGTCACTACATCTTTATTGAAGTAGCAGCACGTTGTCAATGATATTTATGAGAGCTGTTTTTCACTTTTAGTATTTTCCAGTCTTTAACCTGCATCCTGTTGGGATCAGCACAATAACACAATGACAAAGTCACTCTACTCAGTTTAGGGCAAAGCTCATTGATCAGGACATAGTAATGTTGAGCTGCACATTTAATACCTGAACACATCTGATTGTTTTATTCATGATTTTTATCTACATCATTTATTCTTCATTCAGACTGAGGAGCTGCAGTTTGTCAGAGATCAGCTGTGTTTCACTG